CATTTTATTAATATCAAAGTGAAGATATATTTTTCATTTTGTATTATAGCCGTCTTATATGGTGGCCCTGAAGGGACATCGCGAATAGACTAAATCGTGAAAAATATGCGATAAAATTCACGATATCCTCAATTTTATCGCATATTTTTCACGAAGAAATTCACGAAATTGACGATATCGTGAACTTTATCGTGAACTTTTCACGATGAAATTGACGATATCGTGAATTTTATCGTGAAAAGTTCACGATATAAAGTTCACGATATCGCCAATTTTATCGTGTACTCTATCGTGTACTCTATCGTGTACTCTATCGTGTACTCTCCTGACGGGCGCTTTGTAAACAAAACCAGCCCTAGCTGGGGGAGACAGAGAGAAGGAAAAAAGGGAAAGGGAAAGAGAAGATAAAAGGAAAGAAAGAATAAGAAGAAGAAAAGAGGGAAACGGGGGGGGGGGCGAAGGGCTCTTGCCTCCTCCTCACTCCCCCCCCCCCCTCCCCGCCAAAAATAAATAAGGAGAGAGAGAAGGGAAAGGGAAAGGGAAAGAAAATATAAAAGGAAAGAAAGAAGAGGAAGAAGGAAAGAGGGAAACGGGGGAAGGGCGAAAGGCTCTTACCTCCCCCCCCCCCCCCCCGCCAAAAAAATAAATAAGAGAGAGAGAGAGAGAGAGAGAAGGGAAAGGGAAAGAAAGAAGAGGAATAAGAGGGAAACAGGGGAAGGGCGAAGGGCTCTTGCCTCCTCCCCCCCCCCCCCGCCAAAAATAAATAAGAGAGAGAAGGGAAAGGGAAAGAAAATATAAAAGGAAAGAAAGAAGAGGAATAAGAAGGAAAGAGGGAAAATAAGGAAGGGCGGAGGGCTCTTGCCTCCTCCCTCCCCACCCCCCGCCAAAAAAATAAATAAGAGATAGAGAGAGAAGGGAAAGGGAAAGGGAAAGAGAAGATAAAAGGAAAGAAAGAAGAGGAAGAAGAAGAAGAAAAGAGGGAAACGGGGGCGAAGGGCTCTTGCATCCCCCCGCCCAAAAAATAAATAAGAGAGAGAGAGAGAGAGAGAAGGGAAAGGGAAAGAGAATAAAAAAGGAAAGGAAGAAGAATAAGAAGAAAAGAGGGGCTCTTGCCTCCTCCCCCCCCCCCCCGCGCCAACAAATAAATAGGAGAGAGAGAGAGAGAGATAGAGAGAAGGGAAAGGGAAAGGGAAAGAAAATATAAAAGGAAAGAAAGAAGAAGAAGACGGAAAGAGGGAAACGGGGGAAGGGCGAAAGGCTCTTACCTCCCCCTCCCCCCTCCCGCCATAAAGGGAAAGAGAAGGGAGAGGGAAAGAAAATATAAAAGGAAAGAAAGAAGAGGAAAAAGAATAAGAAAAGAGGGAAACAGGGGCGAAGGGCTCTTGCCTCCTTTCTTTTCTTTCTTTTCCTTTCTTTCCTATTCTCCCTCTTTTTCGTTTTTCTCTTTCTTTCTTCTCTTTCCCTTATCTTCTCTCTCTCTCTCTCTCTCTCTTATTTATTTTTTGGCGGGGGGCGGGGGACGAGGCAAAAGCCCTTTGCCCCCGTTTCCCTCTTTTATTCTTCTTCCTCTTCTCTCTTTACTTTTATCTTCTCTTTCCCTTTCCCTTTCCCTTCTTTCTCTCTCTCTCTCTCTGATTTATTTTTTGGCGGGGGGGGGGAGGGGGGGCAAGAGTCCTTCGCCCTTCCCCCGTTTTCCTCTTTTCTTCTTCTTCCTCTTCTTTCTTTCCTTTTATCTTCTCTTTCCCTTCCTTTTCCCTTCTCTCTCTCTCTCTGATTTATTTTTTGGCGGGGAGGGGGGGGGGGGGAGTGAGGAGGAGGCAAGAGCCCTTCGCCCCCCACCCCCCGTTTCCCTCTTTTCTTCTTATTATTCTTTCTTTCCTTTTATCTTCTCTTTCCCTTTCCCTTTTCTCCTTCTCTCTGTCTCCCCCAGCTAGGGCTGGTTTTGTTTACGAAGCGCCCGTCAGGAGAGTACACGATAGAGTACACGATAGAGTACACGATAAAATTCACGATATCGTCAATTTCATCGTGAAAAGTTCACGATAAAGTTCACGATATCGTCAATTTCGTGAATTTCTTCGTGAAAAATATGCGATAAAATTGACGATATCGTGAATTTTATCGCATATTTTTCACGATTTAGTCTATTCGCGATGTCCCTTCAGTATGGTGGCCCTGAAGGGACATCGCGAATAGACTAAATCGTGAAAAATATGCGATAAAATTCACGATATCGTCAATTTTATCGCATATTTTTCACGAAGAAATTCACGAAATTGACGATATCGTGAACTTTATCGTGAACTTTTCACGATGAAATTGACGATATCGTGAATTTTATCGTGAAAAGTTCACGATATAAAGTTCACGATATCGTCAATTTTATCGTATACTCTATCGTGTACTCTATCGTGTACTCTCCTGACGGGCGCTTCGTAAACAAAACCAGCCCTAGCTGGGGGAGACAGAGTGAAGGAAAAAAGGGAAAGGGAAAGAGAAGATAAAAGGAAAGAAAGAATAATAAGAAGAAAAGAGGGAAACGGGGGGGGGGGGCGAAGGGCTCTTGCCTCCTCCTCACTCCCCCCTCCCCCCTCCCCGCCAAAAAATAAATCAGAGAGAGAGAGAAGGGAAAGGGAAAGGGAAAGAGAAGATAAAAGGAAAGAAAGAAGAGGAAGAAGAAGAAAAGAGGGAAACGGGGGGGGGGGGCGACGGGCTCTTGCCTCCTCCTCACTCCCCCCCCCCCCCCGCCAAAAAATAAATCAGAGAGAGAGAGAGAAGGGAAAGGGAAAGGGAAAGAGAAGATAAAAGGAAAGAAAGAAGAGGAAGAAGAAGAAAAGAGGGGAACGGGGTAAAGGACTTTTGCCTCGTCCCCCCGTCCCCCGCCAAAAAATAAATAAGAGAGAGAGAGAAGGAAAGGGAAAGAGAAGAAAGAAAGAGAAAAACGAAAAAGAGGGAGAATAGGAAAGAAAGGAAAAGAAAGAAAAGAAAGGAGGCAAGAGCCCTTCGCCCCTGTTTCCCTCTTTTCTTATTCTTTTTCCTCTTCTTTCTTTCCTTTTATATTTTCTTTCCCTCTCCCTTCTCTTTCCCTTTATGGCGGGAGGGGGGAGGGGGAGGTAAGAGCCTTTCGCCCTTCCCCCGTTTCCCTCTTTCCGTCTTCTTCTTCTTTCTTTCCTTTTATATTTTCTTTCCCTTTCCCTTTCCCTTCTCTCTATATCTCTCTCTCTCTCTCTCTCCTATTTATTTTTTGGGCGGGGGGATGCAAGAGCCCTTCGCCCCCGTTTCCCTCTTTTCTTCTTCTTCTTCCTCTTCTTTCTTTCCTTTTATCTTCTCTTTCCCTTTCCCTTTCCCTTCTCTCTCTATCTCTTATTTATTTTTTTGGCGGGGGGTGGGGAGGGAGGAGGCAAGAGCCCTTCGCCCTTCCCCCGTTTCCCTCTTTCCTTCTTATTCCTCTTCTTTCTTTCCTTTTATATTTTCTTTCCCTTTCCCTTCTCTCTCTTATTTATTTTTGGCGGGGGGGGGGGAGGAGGCAAGAGCCCTTCGCCCTTCCCCTGTTTCCCTCTTATTCCTCTTCTTTCTTTCCCTTTCCCTTCTCTCTCTCTCTCTCTCTCTCTCTTATTTATTTTTTTTGGCGGGGGGGGGGGGGAGTGAGGAGGAGGCAAGAGCCCTTCGCCCCCCCCCCCCCGTTTCCCTCTTTTCTTCTTATTATTCTTTCTTTCCTTTTATCTTCTCTTTCCATTTCCCTTTTTTCCTTCTCTCTGTCTCCCCCAGCTAGGGCTGGTTTTGTTTACGAAGCGCCCGTCAGGAGAGTACACGATAGAGTACACGATAGAGTACACGATAAAATTGACGATATCGTGAACTTTATATCGTGAACTTTTCACGATAAAATTCACGATATCGTCAATTTCATCGTGAAAAGTTCACGATAAAGTTCACGATATCGTCAATTTCGTGAATTTCTTCGTGAAAAATATGCGATAAAATTGACGATATCGTGAATTTTATCGCATATTTTTCACGATTTAGTCTATTCGCGATGTCCCTTCAGGGCCACCATACTTCAGGGCCACCATAGTCTTACTACAAACAAAAAAACTTATCCTTTCATGAATGTAACGATAGATTGGTTTAATATACATATGCGACTCATTTTTTTCGGTAGATGTACGTAAAACCTTACAAACGAATTAGTATGAATGTTTCGGCATTTTTATTTTGGTATTTCTATATTTATGTTATTTTCTCCCTTTTCTTAATTACAAGCCCTCAATAAACTTGGCATCTAACTTACGCCACTATATTATTCTATATTAACACTAAGGATTACTCAGTAAGGGGAAATTCAGAAAATGAATCGATGAAACGAACAGAAATATATTGAACAAAATATGAAATGGAATACTATACACAGAGAAAAAGAAGTAAAGGGCATTAAAAGAAATGGGCAGGGAGAATGATTGGGGTTTAATTTTTTCCATCGTAAGAGTTGTTGGTACATATGTCAGTTAAGTAGGGGTGCCGTGCAAGAGATAAAAGGAGAACTTAATATTTTCGGCAATTACCGTCTGCCATAGTCATCGACACGCAAGAGTGGAAGGGCGTTTTTTTTTTTGGGGGGGGGGACAGGGTCATTTAACATAATCCGGGAGGGATGCAGAATTTCACTTTAAAGGCACACTGCCATACTTGTAGCTACTTGCTCCCTCTATATAGAAAACTTCCCCAATCGGTGCCTGTTGGTCCCCCATGATCCTCTTTTTCTTATGTTAAATGAGAGCTGAGTTAATGAGATAGCCACCTGTCACAGTGACCTCGATGGCTCTCTGTGTGGTCTAATCCCTTCTGGCCCAGTAGTGGTGACGGTCTTTAAGAAAGCAGACAAAATAATTAAACAGCGAGTCATGTCAGGGTCCGGTATCATACAGAAACAGCGATCCTTGATGAAGGCATACCCCCTCCCCGGGAATTTTCAAAGGAGATTGCCCCCTGTAACCGGAATAAAAAAAATGAATCAATTGAATACTAAATTGAGGCAAAATTCTCCCACCCCGTCACGCCAAGATATTGCCGTCCCTGATCATACCGTAGGATGTGGATTACCAATTTATACTTGTTTCATCTCATATTTATCCAGTTCGTAACCCACAATTATTGTGATATAACGTTTCGTCATACCGTGGTTTTCATTTTATTTCATACGACCCTGTACATACCAGGTTCGCTGTTCATCTATGAGTCAGATTAGGCTATTGTCTTTATTTTCCACTATTCATCCCAAAACTCTATATTATTTCGCATATAATTATATTGCATCAGTTATTTGTCTACTTCATAATAGCAATCGCGGTCTCATTTTTGTCGAATAGACCGACTCAATCAAGTCTGACATTTTTGTTTTGTCTTGTTCCGTCAGACGGCGCTGCAAGGTTCGCCGTCTTCGTCAACATAGGACTCTAAGTCGACGGTTCTGGAACGCTGAATTGAATTCCTGGACCTATCGGATGGTTTAGGGCTAAGAGTTCGTCCTCCTTCTTCTGGTTCTGGACTGAGGTAGTTGTTATTTAAAGGGGATTTGTTGCTGTTATCGTTCAGCTCCATCACACGGCTACCTGGTCCCCTATGAAAGAAAATGAGAAATTAAGACAATTTAGTAGTTGGCCTCGTTCTTGATTATTATCAATAAATTGATTTACATTGAGAATGAAGAGGAATAAGAGATTATTTTAGTACATTAATTATTTTACAATATTAACTCTGCATCCTCCCACTTATCAGCATAAAACGATCTTTCTGTACCATATATTATTTTTAGATGATTAATATCATGATTTGAGAAGATATTTGTATGGGTTACGAAAGTTTCACATTCCATAGCCACCTTTTTGCAAAAGATGAAGTCTCAATTAGAGCAAGAGAGAAGCAGTAAAGCCTCCATGAAACTTACCTTCTTTTGAAAATGTTTTTCAAGGAATGTTTGAAGTGACCTTTCTTCTGTCTCGGATCCTTCGGATCATCCTCTGCAATACTGCAGGTCCTCACAAACACTTGCTGTGTAATGGCATCTGCCTCTCTCTCGGAGAGACCATTCAAGTTCTTTGCTTGTGTCTCCACTATAGGATGTGATCTGCTCGGAGGAGTGATTCTTCTCGTTGGAGATGGAGCTTTAGGGGAGTGTGGTCGTGGACTGTGCGAAGTCCTTCTCGATCGCGGTCGAGGCGGTTCTGCGCGTTGTTCCTCCCTGATGATATGCGCTTGGAGCGCGCCGACATCAACACTCTTCCGCCGGGCGTATAGTCGGCTTTGAGTTCCTGTTCGCAAATGCTGTGGCAAGGGCCTCACTACGTCCATACCCTGAGAAAAGTTATGTCTCTTCAAGTCTGCCAGACTGATGAAGTTTGGCATGCTCTCCATCGTTACAGACGGAACGTTGTCACTGCTTCTATATTGCATTCGTTTCAAGTTCGAGTGACCTTCAAGAAGTGCATGATGTGCTGCCAGTAATGATTCGCTAATGGCGTGATGCCCGTAGCCCATTGCCATACCATCGACACTCTTCCTATGCTGTCTCATCCTAGAGTTCCCATTTTGTGTGAATGACCTCGGCATGGCATTGGCCGGCGTCGAAGGTACATAACCCATGTTCTCCAAGTCAGTGTCTACCTCTTCCCCGTAGACTCCAAACGACTGCAGTCGAGAAAGACTCATTCTCCTGCCCCTGCTTTTCCTCCGTTGACGTGTCGTGTCGATGACATCACCGGGTTGACGGTCATCATGGTTTGCAAAGTTGGCAGCGTTAATTCCTTTCCCGAGCATTCCCGGCACCGGGACTACAGAATTCTCGGGATACTGCGCCACCAAATGCGTGTTCCCGCTCAACTGCGCACCATCATTGTACGACGGCCCACGGTTTGGATGATTTGGCGGGAAGCTCATAGCCACCTGACCAACGCGGTCATTGTGTTCGTGAAGGTTTAGTTTTAGTGCCTCGCTGGTCACCGACTTGCGTCTCCCTTTCGATCTCTTATTGCACGTCGATTGCCGAGTGCCCCACATCTGCTTGATCTCGGTAGGTGAGATGCTCGTCATACCCCTCTCGCCTTCCATCGAATGGACACCACTGTCTCGAAGAGTGGTCTCCATGCTGCTCAGACTTGATGCCTTGCTATTTCTCCTGGTAAAATGAAACATAAATGAATTAATGTACATCATTTGTCATTTAAAGCTGAGGGCAAGAGGATTAATATCACATCTAATAAGTAAAGGAATCTATTTATTTTGGTTCTTTCGGCAACCTTCTTATCTGTTTGCCAAATTGTTGGAGGTAAATAGCCGAATTCTAAGCAGTCACTTTATCAATCATATCAACTTCGTCATGAATGCATCGAGAGAGATATAATGGTCCATTTTTTCATGGGCGTATAAGGGCACATTTTTGCCAGAGGGGTTATCGTCTCTTGTCCAAATGTCAACTTTTCCGTTTCTAAAAGTGGCAATGTGAGCTAACAATCTAATGCTTTCTGAAGAGAGAATCTCTTGACTTCAGTAATATTTGTTAATCATAAAAAGGGAGGTAATTTCCTTGTGCAGTGTTTGTCTTCTTTTAGTCTGGTATGTGATCTCTGTAACACTCACCTCTCGCTTCTATAAGCTTCCCTGGTAGTTGGTGATGGTTGGTCTTGTGAAGTCAGTAGATTGATGTCCTTCACTAACCCGTTCAACTGTTTGAGACACGCCTCGACGTGGAAGCGATCGGGGTGATTTTTTGCCGTGTATTTCAGGAGTCGCTAATACGACAACGAGAGATTGAGTGCATGATTAGGCCATCAAGTCAATATGTAATTGAATAATCAAATAATGATTGAGGGGCAGAGCGAATTAAATGAACGATTGGTTATACAGTTGAATTATTTGATTACTGTGGGACAATTGATTTACTGACGTAAGATGTGCCTTCTTGACGTAGTTAATACTTAATTCCCAGATATTGATTACTTATGTGTGATCCACATTATATGTCAAAACGAGAGGAGTTATCTCCCCTTCTAATAATTAAAGGGAAAGGTTGTACAGTGATGACGAAACAATGATGAAAAAATTAAACATTATTATTATTATTATGATAATGATGATAATGATGACGCTGACATATCGAAAACTATATATGTGCATTAATTGCATCAACATATTTTCTCGAATCATGTCATCTTTAGAAGATATGAACGTATCAAACTGGCAGCAATATGACATGTTCATTGCGAAGTAATTGTTGTTATGTCGCTCTCATCAGAAATCTATGCAAAGCCAGATTTATTTTGCATCTGATTTTATACTTCCCATTCCTTGAGATATGAATAAAGGAACTGCCTATTGTAATTCCATTTGATTTTATATTATATACAAATCCATGTTATCTTATGATATTCTGACAACAAATGGCTAATCAATCTTAACATTGACATCTGCTGACAGCCAGGATTACATCATCTCTTACAGTTTTACACGAATCTATTAGGCCCTACTTGCTCTCAATAGAGATGGTCATACCTTCATAGAATGAACATAGTAGGCGATTCTGTGCAGGGGTGCCATAAGGTAAGTTATGGGGTCTATTTTGCCCTTCCCGTTCTCCACAAGCTGTTTCTGTAAAACATAAAAGAGTCAGCCATGTTGTTAGAAATGAAAGTCATGGAATGTGTAAACCCAAATTTAGAAGAAAAAAGAAGGGAAAAAAAAGACGGTCAACGGAGGGCTCTTTATAGTGGAATAGTTATTAACACAAACGTCAAAGTGTCTGCAAATTTCATGAAAATATAATGGTAATGATTATGACACTTATAACAATAATCATAATAATAATGATATGATGATAATAATAACAATAATAACAACAATAATCATAATAATAATTACAACAATAAGCAAAAACCAACTTACAGGCTTCTCATATAATTCATTATGATTTGACCAAGAGTAATGATCTGATTTAGTTTTGCACAACTATGATCTCGATGATCTGATTTAGTTTTGCTCGGCATACTTCGATAATTAAATTGTCAGTGTCCTTACATCGCATTATCAAGTGATTCAAGCAGATGCCATACGTGATATGGAATCCCTTATTTCAAAGACCTCACTTTATCTATTCTCAATGGTCATTGAAAACTAAGGAAGCAATAATCTTTGCATTCGTTATGCTGTTAAGATAAAAATCTCTTTCCGTTTTACGATTTATCCTCATGATTATTACGTCGTTAACTGAATCTAGAGGGAAGCAACACGAGGTAAAAAAAATTGTTTGATGATCTACATAATTTTGCGCTCTAAGATATCTAAATTCAGAATTCATGATCAAAAGTCTATAAGCCGAAGCTGGTGTGTCACAAAAGATATCAGAAACTAGAGCGATGGCGAACCAACTATGGCCAACTTGTTTTAAAGTGACTAGGTCACTTGTTGAAGGTTGATGAAAAAATCGCGTAATTTTTGTATGAAATGTTACTTATTATATTCCTTCTAACCCTCTAACATGCAACAAATCCTGAAAAAATTCTCAAACCACAAAGATATTTATGGTTTTCTTTGAAGGCGTCACTGTCGGACACCCTCTAACAGTAAATTCTCCCCACCAATTTTTGAGTTTTCTCAACCGTTTTTACATGAAAATAAGACATAAAACAGGCCTTTAAAACCTTTCAACACTTAAATGTCTGGAATAGTATGTAAAGCAGAATCATTGCTTTGTGACGATTTACATTCATCTCAAATTAAATTAAAGTATACAAATATAGTTGGGAGAATTCAGGAATCGATCAGATCAGTTTTTCCGAATTTTTATCATAAATAATGGTCTGTTTTCACTCAAACTTTCAGATTATTTTTAATTGTACGTCTAGCATTGACATCACTACATTAGCACCATTTCTCTCATCTTAAAAATGTTACCAAGTCCCTTTAATATACCTGTAAGTATGTAATTATGTCATCTTACTCATCAGGATGGTTGGAACTCGGTTCAGAATGTCAACGTACTGTTAGCAAATTTCAAGAGGTGACGAACAAGACAATAAGGGAGTTTACAGATAGCACATGGTACAAATGACCCCAAATATCCACAGATCTTTTACACATGGAGAAGTTCCACTTTGAGCATAATAGAATAATAACTGCCAAAGTCTTAGAAGTGCTTCATGAATACCTTTTGTTGCACTCTTGAAAAGAATACTTCCACCTGCGTATCATAGAATGTACCGTTGGTGCATAAATGAATAATGTTACATAACTTCCATGAGCGCATATCCAGTATTCATCTCTGTGGGTTTTACCTTTTTGGTACAAATGACCTTTATCTGCCCATGCGCAGATTGTATCGGTAAACTCCCTTATTGAAATTGTCTTAAGTTGATTTACTTTAAAGTCCTTGCGATCGTAATGACTATAAAACTCCAAATCATACTGTACAGCGTACCTCAATAAATTGGTAGAAGTTTTGAGATGTGCCGAGATGGTGTGCCAAAATAGATAGACCGTCTGCAAAACTTTTCACGTAAGAGGTGTACAACTGGAACAGACTTGACTGAAAAGGAAATTAAATATATGTATATCATTTAGACAGGTAGTGACTTGAATTATGACGATTGAGAGGTTATATTATTGGAACTCCCATAATTATTATTTTTTTGAACTTAAACACCAAAGTTAAGTTGATTGTGAACAAGGTCAATTTCTTTTCTTCATGTGTTACTAAGTTTTACCAAAATGAAGTTAGCAAAACGAGAGAAAGATTGTTATTTCACTGACATGTACTTTTAAAAATATTATAGCATTCTACCGAAGTACAAATTATGGAAGGCAACACAAAAGCATTGAACTTGATGCGAGTAAACTGTACGAGAAAGAGTGGAAAAGGTGTAATATGCCACTTGATTATGTAGATACATGGTTTGGGCATCTATTTAGTATGCATAAGGTATGACTCAATATGCTCCATTATTAGATCCGACCTTCCCCCTTCTCCTTCATTTGATATTTATATTTTATCTTGTCCTTTAAGTATGATCATCATCCGTCTTTTGGAGACACAACATGAATAAGTATTAATGGGCGTTTACATGAATACAAGGGCGATACAGAGAAAGACATGGCTAAGAGTATAGACTAAAGATGCTGAATCTAGTTACAACCTACCCCGTCTCCTCCAGACAGCCTTGCTAAGACATCACCCATGATGCCTTTCCACTTCCAATCACTCAGCCTTGTTTCTAGAGCTTCCAGGAAGGCTGAGTGTTCATGATGTAGCTCTCCAAAACATGGCGGAAACATTACACTGAAATGAAGAGAAAGCATCGTGATAAGAATGTTTAATTATCTGGAGCAATGAGTGGTGTTCGTTGTTTACGTCACTCATTTTTCTTGACCTTGTTATAACACGATATTTGCATCTGGCAGTTTTTCAAAATAGATCACGCTAATCTTATTAATCATGATTATCGGGCTCATTCAAATATGGATTTACTTAATCGTTACTATGTGCTGTTGAATGCAAGATGGATAAGAAAGATTATTAAAAGTAAGAGATAGAGAGAGAGAGAGAGAGAGAGAGAGAGAGGGGGGACGAGAGAAGGGGGAGGGGCTCTCCTTTACTACTTCGGAATTTCTATTAAATTGATCATAACTACATACTTATGATAAAGGAAGGGAAGGAGACAGAGAGAGCGATGGGGACAGAGGGTGGAGGAGAGGAGGGAGGACGAGAACGACAGAAAGAGATGTGGGAAAGGAGAAAGAGAGAGCGAGATAGAGAAAGAAGGTAGGAAAGAGAGAGGAGGGAAATACTAACTTGATATCGCTGAGAGGAACAATGGACTCAATGACAAGAGGCTGTATGATACATTCTTGAATAAATCGTAAATGTGAGACGTATGTCCTTTCAGAAGACAGCAACGATTCCACTATACGACGACGCCTACCTTAAATATTAAATTGATACAGAAAATTATCAATTCAAAATTAATAAAACATTGACAAACGCACACACAAACCCACAAAGTAAATGCACAGCATCTATTTTCACGATTTCGTAAATTCGTTTGATAAAAATATGTTCATCATAAACGACTTAAAAGTTCTCAGACGCAGAAGCTTGCGTGTACATCATCCATAAATTCTATTTAGTGAATAAAATGATTTTAAAATGACATTCTGATTTTCATGTCTAAACAATTACAAGACAGTATACAAAAAATACCACCAAATATAGCCGTATTGAAAACTGGGGTCACATACGTTAACTTACTGATATCAAAAATTAAAACGGAACTGAATATTGAATAAATCAAAATTCCATTTATTCCATTTCCTCTTCTTTTCTGTAAAATTGCTGATATTAACATCTTTTAATATCATTTTCCATTGTAACATCGAAATATTTTCTTACTTGTATCGCTGTCGTTACTTCCAATCGTTCTTTCAGAGTTCTGTTCATTCTCTCCTGACTGCAAGCAGAAAAATCGAACGAAAGAAAAGCACAAACAGCTGTCAGTAACCTAACCTCTTGTCACCCTTTAAACATTGAACATTAAAGAGTATTCCAAATCTATTAGACTCGATATCTTTCTATCGAATTTATATACAAAACAAGATCGAAAAAACTTTCTAAAATTCAACTTTAGGACAATTTTAATACATCTCTTTAATGTGTGAACCTTTCAAGAGGTGACGGACAAGGCTAGTGTTATTGCCTGAGTTTGATTTTTCGAGATTGTTTGCCATTGTGTTACGTATTGTAATTTAAAAGAAATAATCGTAAGAAATAATCCTAATATCAAAAATATTAACGAAAATCGTTGGTAGATAAGAAGTTCTTACGTTTCGGTTGAATAGTAGATTATCTGTGGCAGGGCTTGCCAGTCGAGCTCTATGACGATGATACTCCTCGGCAAACATTCGGCTAAGTTTCATCATCTGATCCGCTGACTGGATCGTCGAGTTATCAGAATCCGAATCTGGATCAACTGAATAAAATCATTTGACAATAAGTACACATGTAACTTTATCATGATGACTGGTACAAATAAAATACTAACGTAACAATATAAGCCTACTGGGTTTTGTAATCTAAAATCAGGGTAGGCCTTTAAACGCCTTGGCTTTAGACTGAAGTACGATGTAGGTCTGTATACACCAAGAGGAAAGATGATAATGCACTTGCCGAAACAAAAGACCCACAAATATTGTAGGAGTTGGGCGTCACACCCACTCATATCTCATAAAGTAATGCTCTTTGTGGCGTCGAAGTGGTTTTCATTCCTTCAACTGAAGGCTTCTTGATCAGTCCTTCGCAACATACGGTTTAGATTGATACAGACCACTTCACCTGTATGGGGGGGGGGGGGGGTGGCAAATGTAATCACTCATTGTCTTGCCAAAGGACGTTTAGTGCCATGACCGAGATTCGAACCTTGTACCTTGTGACCCATAGTCCGGAGACATATAACACAAGACCAATACACCTCTGCTTGGTTGACTAACTTACCTGTGTTGTCTCCAGCCTCTGGTAGGGAATCAATGAATGGCTGTAGCATCGGAGGAACTGAGTCCTTTGGGTCCTCGAAGACATCTCGATGAAAACCACTCTCATCAGATTGAGACGTTTTATTTGAATGGGTTTGAGATCTGTCATTAGAGGGAAGAGAGTTTCAGAATGTCAATCTACGGTGTATTGGACAGGATAAACAATTCTTCAGCATGATCTTTGCTATACAAGAGATTAAAGTCCCATCACGTATGCTAATGTTAAGGAGCCTCCGTTTATAAAGCTATGGTCTGTATCTACTTATTCAATAACTATTTCAAACTTTCTGTCCACATTATTTTATACTTAACGGATGTGTAAAATCAACCTTGTCAGTTAAAAAAACACCATACATCAAGATTAGACCGATACATATCAATACTTCGATTTTGACTTTGATTCTTGACTTCAAATTAGCATGGTTAATAATGTTAGTATATTGTATTGTGACAGGACTGTATCAATTTGTTTGTTGAAAACTGAGCTTATTTTTAGACTTACGGTCTATTTACAGCATCGGTATTCTCCTCCATCTTATTCTTGATGATATCTTGCTGGTCTCGAAGCTCCTTCGACTGTCTCTTCAGATCTGTTGTTGTCTCATTGTTCTTATTTACCTCATTAACCGCTTTTCCTAGTTCACTCTGAAGAAGAAGAAGGAAAAAAAGGTTTATGTATTGGTTTATGACGAATGATATAGTATAAGACTTTTTCGATGTGAATTACGTTATTATCTACTTGATGTAATTAATGAAATTCCCTTCAGATAAAACGTATGCCACTATATTGTCAATGTACATGTATAGAAGCATTTTTTGTTAAAAAAGCTTCCTATTATAACCATCCCACGGGCTGATCACTCATACATTTTTAAGCATTTTGAGATGAATCATGAACACAATTGACAACTTGCATTTCCATTTGGAATTTTAAACGGTATCTCTTACCGTAGAGGATTGCAGCTTGTGCTTTTTTTTCATGTTTATTTTTTCATATTTGTCACCCGATCCTTTTTGTATTACCTGGAGTGTTTCTACCATCTTGGTGAGTTGTTCAACTTTAGCATCGCTATCCGACTTGTGTTTCTCCAGTGTTTCTTGAAGTACCCGGTCACCATTTTGAATCCTGGAGAGCTCCTGCATGGCCAAAACGAAGCCTTCCTTCATTTCTTGAACTAGATAGTGAAGCTACAAAGAGAAAATGGAGTTTGACATGAATTTCATTAAACTAGCAAGGCTAAATTAATTAAGCTTGACACCACATATAAAATGTTTATAGTCTACGCTTACGAGTTACTCTAGACCTGCACTCGTCCACAATACCGTATATAGCCTAGATGACGATATTGCCCAGGGCGCCAAAAAGCTCTATATCGATGCCTAGTGTCATTCTAGATTAAATATTACAAACAAATATTTAATATAGGAAGCAATATGACCCTCTTCTGTCCACATTCCCACCATTACATTATCTCCTTTAGTGGCTATTGCAACTGTATCCTTATTTCTTTTTAGATTAAAGTTCATGCTCCAGGCTATGTTTTTATTAATTCCCAAATGAAGGTTACTAGAAATGCCATGGTTCATGATACATTGCTTAGTTTTAATGGACATCGATGGTTTTCTGAATACTATAGCCTATATAGTTCAATACTTTCGCTACCATTTACTACTCTCATCTTTTATAAATTTCAGGGGGAAAAGAAGAATTTAATAATTTCGGAAGAATCGCGTAGACGCCTTGATTTGACAGATAAGGCCACCCTCCTCCGCCACAAATCTATATTTAATATCCAATGGCAGTGTAAACTTTGAACCTGTATGTTTTGATGTTGTTGATGTTTGTTTGTTTGTTTGTTTTCCCTTTTCGTTTTAAATGTAAATTCTATAAAGTGCACATTGTTCTAGATACATGTACGTTTTTTTCTTCTTGGTAAGAGCTCAGTATCACAGTACATTTTCTATGATGTATTCTGATGACAGAGTAAGAATAACCTGTATGATGGGCTTTAAAATGCATTTACATACACCTTCATTGAAGAGGGAGAGAGACCCATGGGCTGTATAGGGGAAAATTTGCTGTCCCTCTCAGGGACAGGTGACACTGAATAAAATCAATAAAGAAAACGAATACTACAAACATATGACTATATTATGATTATATAATATGCCTCTCTCCGTTGCTACTAAGCTGCCAATTAAGGGTTTGAGTAGCAGTATTATAGATTTCTTTTTCTGTTTTTAATGATGCCATCTCTTTCCAATCATGTCATTTAATTCCACAGGTAAGTACGTGTTTTCCTTCTTGTTCTTCTCTTTTCGTTCTAGCATTTTCTTCCGTGCTCTCAAATCTCTCTGATATACCTACAACAACTGTCTTATTCTGCCGATTTTTATCTCTTTAAAAAAAATCTTGACAATTCTTTTTCTAACTTTTTTCTCTGCTTTTTTCTTATTTATACTTCATTTCCCGCCTAATACTTCATAGCTTCGTGTTTCATCATTTCTTTTTGTATTATCTTCTCGTGTTCATGTCACAGACTATGCCAGGGACTATACTATTAACATCGACACATAACAATGAGTAACTTTCTATTATTTGCATTCCTAGCTTTTCTTTCTCCCACTCATGTTCGACATCTTATATTGACGGAACTGATCCGCAAGACAAATTATTTACCCGCTCACAAGTAGGGCCCAACAAATAAAGCCTTTACATTTCTTCTTATGGTATTAAAGGTATAACATAGAGTTCTTGTCATGCAATAAGATTGTAAAAGAAACTATCCGGACGGAACTTGGAAAGGTTTAATTATGTAGTACATATGAATTGATGTTGCACTGTGAGGTTTCGGAATCATCAGACTAATAATAAATTGACTCATTGGTAATGTAATCATAAAATGCACTCTATACAAGAGTATGGCACGACTGTTTGGCCCAAACACTTCAGCTGTTTCTTTTCATGTTTTGAATATGAGAACATTTGGAGAGCAGTTCTTTCAGGAGAACATCTCTATTATATTTTTTCCCCAAACTGCCATACAAAAGAACAGTGAAGAATTTTTAAAAGAGTTGTTTTTCATCACTATCGGAACACAACCTTCTCTTTAATACTAGTAATTCCCAATCTTTCATTAAGAACCCTCGCAAGTCTACCTGTGGGGGTGTAAATATACTTATAGCATACTCGTTTGCCGATTGAACAAGTACTACTCGAAAGACCTTACGTACATTGAAAGTATTGACTAAACTCCCTTAGCTCTGTAAACAGAACACTCAATCTCTATAACAACTTGAGATGCCAAGCGTATCATGGTTTAGGATTTAGGGGTAACTACATGTATAGTCTACCTCTCACTATTAGTCTACAATCCTTCTCACTTAGTGATTCGAAAGCTTAAAATAATCGATGTGCCAGGGAGAAATTGGAAGAAACCTTCATTGGGTTTTTAATTTCTTTAACAAATGTATGTATAGAAAGGAATTGACAATAAATTAATTTCAATTATTTCTCTTACTATATCACTCTAATAGCCAACAAAAATAGTATCTTTATACATAATTGATAAGGCCTCTAAATCTCAATTATCAATCTAAATTCCTTGGATTTCTAAGTATTTCTGCTTAGTTGAATCTAAAATTAAGTGACTTCTCATTCAACCGGACTGTCTTCTGGTGAGGATTATTTTCAAAACAGTCTCCAAACATTCCCAAAGTCTTTTAATGAGGGATTTCGTGCAGCGTAAGACGATTTGTGATATCGAATATCCTCTTATGCTGTTTGGAATGTCCAATGGTCTGTTGAATATTTACAACCAATCGTGATTAGAATTTTATTGTAACTGTTTCGTTTAACATGTTAACCCCACAGCGCTCCCCTGGCGGGTGTTTTTTTTTTTGGTTTTTGTATAGGCCCCTATAGCTTCACGATTGACCAAGGACATTAACAATATATACAGGTATGTGTGATGGGGCATTGCAATTTTCACACATTTTTTACCACACTTTCATCATCACCAAAGAAATAAAGAAGATTCTGATCCTAATTATACGCATATATAGTAAATACAAAGTAACGATGACAATAATACTACTAATAATAGTATTAATAATAATAACAATAATTATAATAATAATTATAATATAATTATGTTTTTAGCTCGGATTTAAATCATACAAATCTTAACAAATCGAACGCGCCTTTTTTCTCTCCATGTTAAATGATATCCAGGTACTTCGCAAAAGACGATATGTATTGAGATGCCATCCGTATCCGATGATGGCTTATCCGTACCTAATGAAGTTTTATTTAGTGATTTAGTTTAGTTTCTCGTGTAGCTTATATTATGCAACTCTCTTTAATCTTCAAGACACTGCAACAGAAATATATCAAAAGGGAAATGGGTAAAATGTAGTCTTGATCAGCCCCCCAGAGACAAACTAATGGCAATTAAATTGATTTCCAATTGCAAAAGTCATAAATCGACAAGATAATTGGTCAATCAAGTCCTTCCTTGATCATGAATATTTGATGTGTCCATGGTACTCTAGACCGCTATGGCTTACAAGTTCCTGTTATGAGGATCATTAGACCATTGCTGGTTCGCAGAATGGAGGTTGAAAGGTTAACTAAAGTGCAAACTTATGTGACGTTCACTTAGACAATAATCTATTTTAAAAATACGTTCATGAAATGTTTTTTCTGTTTGTTTTGTTGATTTCTTTTGTTATAAAATTCAATTTCCAGGTCTACCTAATCAGATACAATTGAGACTTTGAATCGTTTCCGCATCTGACCGCTTCAATGTTACATCTTTACAAGTAATGCCATTAACGGCCAGACTGATGTAGACATGAATTCAATAAATACCACTTCCCAATGTTTGAAAAGAAAGAGAAAACGTTTAGGGGAAACCATAAACGAGGTAAAAAGGATTACGGTTCAAGACCTAATCGATAGGAGTCTTTAGTACTCAGTGGGGTATCTGTTTCTCCGGCTTTGTACCGTTTAGTTCAATAAAGCACTTGTGCAGAACCAGTTGGGAATGAAAATCGATGCGGGATTTGAAAGAAAAGAAAAGGTGGTCCCACTTTCATTTGCATTATACCCCTTCGTTTCCTCGTGGTCAAACGCGTGAAGACCTTACTTCTCATCAAATATGACAGTGGTACTCACGAGGATTCAAATGATATGAATAAGCAATAACACTTTCCCTTTACATCTTTGTGTAGATTAATGTATCAATGCCTCTTAGAAGTATCACTCAAAATGCTTTATGTGTTGACACAGTTTCAAATTACATTTACAAGTTGACATCTTTAGACGTGTACATGTTGACATCTTGATAATTGCGAATTAAGTTGCTCTAGACTTTCACTGGCTAAATTATCCTTGATTTCATTTGATGGGATAAAACTTAACTAGTTATATTATAGTTATAAAATATTGATTTGTAATAAAGCACAATTCATTTATCTCTACACTGAATTGACAGATATGTGTAAATTGTTTGTTTGGCATTTTTTCGAGTCGGACCTTTGATAGTCCTTTTTTTACTTCCATCATTTATATTTTTTCATATTGTGCAAAATCTGTGAAATTTCATCCATTTTTTGGAGAAATAATTTGGTATACATCTCGTTGGGATAATGAGTTGCTGTGGAATGAAGCTCTTATTATTAAAGATTCAAGATGTTTTATTTAACCATAACTATATAAAAACATAAAAACAGTAATGCAAAATGCTGTATGGAATATGGAACGAACCAATAGAAAAGCAAATGAAAAAATAATTTCAAGTAGATACAGAGTAAAACTAATCAATAATAGAAACAAAATTTCACAAATAAACAAATACACACAAATTTCTGTGTTTACCGAAGAGAAAGAGTTTGTAGATTCTTATTGCTCATAGTAGCTTACGGTATTAACGGCAAACGAGGAAAATATTTTTTTGTTTAAGATTAAAAGAATTTACAATATCATTTATATAGATAAGGAAGAGAAGGGAACCCAGAACTGAACCTTGGGGAAATCCTTGATCGTTACATTATTATAGAGGATTTGACACCATTGACCATCAGATATTGTTTTCTTCGGTGTAAATAACTAATGAACCATTTAAAATCATTACCATATTGTACGAACCCCATAATAATCAAGTTTGGCCATAAACCTTGTACCAATGTCAACCTGACTTTGTTGTCAATGGAGACGTTATAAAACGGTGTAAAATAACAGAAGATCAATTATTGCTCAATCCTCTGGAAAGCGAATGAAAACCAATGGTTTAACTTCCATTACGCAACTGTTTTCATACGGTAACGTGCTCGCCAATTCCCAGTCCCAGAAGAATTGTCTTCAATGGTCTAATTGGGGATAGTTTGATTATTTGGTGTGCTAATGAATGGAAGTGATAGTTGGTTGATAGTGCGTATAACCAAACTATTATCCACGTGATCATACCAGTATTTAGTGACGTCATTTAATATACCCTGGATGAGCGGGGCGTCGAGTAAGAGGGTATATTTGGAGGGGGAGGGAGGGGCGTAAACGCTTGAATTTTAAAAATATAGTTCTAACTTATAACCCAATTAATTGTACGTAAGGGCAACTGTGCACACCCCTGCGAATGCTGAGAAAATATTAAACATCAGAACTATCCATAAATGCGACATTTTATTGGGATTTGTGTTTTTTCTTTTTCTATTAATGTTTTTAATGCTGTTGTTTGTTTGATTTTTGTTGTTGTAGTTGTTCTATGATAACATTATTTAATTTTTATCAGATGCCTCTTATAACAAAATCACTGGAGATTTGTGTAAAGTTTGTGAGATTGCTAGAACGCAGACATGCCCTAAATATCAAGTAAAATTATTAAGCAATTAATTAATTAATTAATTGTCGGTTTATGTTCAAAATCATTCGTTTTGTGTGGGACTTAAACTGACAACTTTCTTGAACTAATTGCCCCAAAACTCAATGGTAATCCTACGTAATTTTTCAACTTATCTTCTGAATAATGACTTCTGTTGATGACAGTGTCTTGGAACTGTTTGTTTGTTTTGTGATTATATTAACATTCAAAGTTATAGATGTGAAACTGATACCAATAACGATGATGTATCGGTAGTACTGCAGAAAAAGTAATGGAAGTGCAAGTCAAGTATTGTCTAGATAGACGGCGCTATACAAATGATGATAAATTATTATACAATTATTGTATAATAATTTATCATCATTTGTATCATTTGTATAGCGCCGTCTATCTAGACAATTCTATTCCGAGGCGCACACATTAATTACTACCCCGGCTTTAGCCTAGCTGACATCGCAGCGCTCTAGCATTTCAAGGAATTAATTCCTGTCAGGTACCCATTTGGGACGAGTGTGGCAAATGTAGATTAATGCTTTGCTTTATAACATTTATGGCCTGTCGGGGATCGAACCACGACCTTCGAATTTCAAGTCAAGTGTTTAAACCATTCGCTACGACACTTCTACGAAACTTTAATAATGTCAACATACCTCGATAATTTGTTCTTCCAAATTGCCATGGTTTTCTGCATCAGCTGTGTGGTTAAAAGATAGGGTGAAATAAATGATACAATTCAAAACTTTTTCAAAAATCATTGAAACTTATGGCTTTTGAAAGACCTGTTTTTCTCTCCTCTTTCCTTTACTTTCTAACAATGTTTCTACCTTTCCCCCTTCCCCATCCCCTTCCCCTCTCTCCTCCTCCTCCTCTTTATATGCTTACCTCTGCCAAACGCAGGCGAAGGCACCCTCACTCCTCCCTGTCTGGAAGCTTCCATATCATCAGAGGGTAAACCTATAACATATTATGAAAATTACAATAATTTCACCCACTCACAATCTTGTATTAAAACAAATCTTAAACAATAAATATCAATCTATTCAATATTCTTAATATCTTCTAACCATGAGGTTCAAAACATGCAGTTTGAGATTTGTTATACTACAGTTACCATCATTTTGTTTTCTTCATATTGCAATAAGACAAAACGGAACCTCAAAGTTGATGTTTATTGTTGCTATCTAATTAACAACAAAGATGACTATAGGCATATCAGAAGTTCTGTTACAGTTTTTGATGAGCGCAAGATTAATTATTTTCATAGCAGATCAGATGGATATGGTGACGATGAACATTATAACATCGCAAATATATCATGACAACAATTTGGAGCACTGCTCATGAAATCAAAATACTTAGAGAGACCTTCTTCCAAATTACTTGAGACAAAAATAAATACATGTGCATCAAAATGATGTTGACCTCAACCATGCACTTCAGTATGATTAATATAATTTCATTATCGTGATGTAAGTGCGGGCCTACCTCTGACAAACGCTGGCGAGGGTACCCTCAGTCCTTCTGTCCTCGAAGTGGACATCTTATATGATGATCTCGAGGACAAGTACGACTCATCTAAGTCCACATCGTAAGCGGTGATATCATCTCGGTCATCGAACTCATCTGTAAAGGCCGACGGCATCGGCCGTGAATGAGAATGTATCCGAGATTTCCTAACTTAAGATGATTAACTGTATTAAAGGGAGAGAGGGAAATGAGTTAGGAGATATACACAGCCTCGAAACAAATATTCTAAAGAAATGTAAGCCTCAAATTCGCAGTATCAATGAGTGATATAATGACTTACGGTAACATTGATTTCAATCAGAAAAGTCATTATTAATTAATTTAATTACTATCATATTATGCCACTACCCAAATACATAGTACTTAAGCAAGTAAAGTGTCAACATTGATCTTTTCCTGAACGTTTAAACCTCATTCAATTGAAATAACGTATTTTTGCATAATTTTATTATATCTAATGTTACTATCATATTTTTTTCATTTGATATTCGATATTACATTTTTCATTTGTAAACAAAATTATCAATGTACCATATGAATAAAGTTGTCTAATAAATGAATTCCAAACGGTTAAAAATACGTTGGTGAAACTGCTTATTGTAAATATTCATTTTGTTTGCACATATAATGGATCTAAATCTAATTGTAGAATGAACACGGAAACATAATTCAATAAGCCCCCAAGCAGAGAGTAATTTAATTTGTTTTGAAGAGAAAATGCATCGTAAAGATCGTCTTCTACGCGATCCTTTTTTTTTGGGGGGGGGGGGTGAAAATGTTGTTTTTGACATTTTATTTTGTTCTTTATTTGAACCGCTTTGGTTAGTCGATCAACACGAGGCTGTTGATAATAAATAAATAAGTAAATGAAAAAATAAATACGTAAATAAATACATAATTTGTTATTTATCTATTTGCTTAACTAATAAATGAATAAATACATAAATAAACATATTAAATAATTGTCCATCTATTGTCAGATTTTCTGTTTTAAGTAATTTTAGTTCGCGGGCAAATTTTTATTTTCTGACACTTTAAAGTGACGTAAAATTAAAGAGTGACGTGTTTTATTGTTCGAGCAACTTTATAGAAAAAATAAGACTTTTATCTTCTTACAACTTTGGTGATCAATCTCTATGACGCTTTAGATTGATCAATGTTGTGAGGAGATATAAACTTTATCTATCAAGAACAAATCATATTTTCACAATCGCTTTATGAAAAGAGGCAAACAAAATGGCATTTCAAACGTAATGGGCAACAATGCATATGGACGCTGGCTGCAATTAGCAGTACTACCAACGCGAGGCCCAAATCTACAGTCACAATAGTTTACCCACCTCTGATCTGTATCCAAATGTAAAATAGAAATAAGTGAATTGAATTCTAACTTAGAGACCAAGAAACCAAGAATTAATGACCTGTAACCAACGTTGATGATGCATTGTGCCATTGAATAGCAAATATGAATTCAATTGAAATAACCTCGAATAAACTGTTTAATGTTTTTATTGATATTAAGGCATCCACAATAATAATATACCAACGTGATGTAGCCCCGAGTCTTGTAATAAATGTTTCTATAACTATTATTTTCATTATACCGCAATAAAATAATATTTTCCCATTCCTTCTATTAACAAAAAGAAGGGTTACAGAGGAAGGAAGAGCGAGAGCAGAAGAGACGGAATGAAGAGATATATAAAAGAAGGAAGAATTAACATAGGCGTAGAAAAAGATGAAGTATAACCATGTTCTTTCAAAACGTCTTGCTTTGGAATTAAAATATGAAGTTCTATTCATTAAGTGGGTTGGTATCAGTAGTGTGATCACTTAACTTACAGTGACGTCAAATATTTATTTGTTACAGCTACAGTTTTTGGATTATACATTGCAGACTGTCATATTAAAAATATGTTTTGGTGAAAATTGTGTTAAGTAATCTGCAGGAACACCCTAACAGTTTCTTAACAGTTCGAACATTCCTTAACAGTCCGAATCTGTACACAAAATATGTATCTTTTTCATGAATAATCTTATTTTCTTATTCAAAGATGAAAGTTTTAATTCAGACAGTACTTTTTACGATCGTTTAAATAATATGGTCGTATCAATTACCACTATACCTTGCGAACTTATTGTAAAATATATCCATATAAATCCTCTTCGTCACAGCATCGTAATTATACCAAGGGGAAAAGGCTCGATATGTGTCCAATCATTTTCCCACTTGACACAGACTTCAGAATAAGATATCAAATTAATCCATCAAAAAGCAATTTTCTCCTTATAACTCGATTTTCCTCTGTGTTCAAGTTCGTTAGAGAAAACATCTAATGTGATGCAACGTTCGCAATCAAAGGAGAAGCAATAATAAGATGCTCGTAAATTAAACGCTGGTTCAAGGCTACACAGATAGACGAAGTTTAATCAATGTAAGACGTCTAGGTCACCTTTCACTGCAGTTATCCATATGTCAAGACATCAAGTGAAGACATAATGCTCAAATAAGCAAAGGGATGTTTTCCCTTCAAACAAGCGGTGTTATCCCCAGTGCTTGATTATCTCTTAGATGATGCATCTTACCCAACACTACGCTAGACTGCGAGTATTGGCAACCCGCTGCACTATGCGTTGTGGGTCATTAACAGCGCTTTCGACGTTTCTACATCTATAGATCTGAAGTGTCACAGTCCCATATATACAACCTCATCGTCCAATCAAATACCATTCTTTAGTGAGAGAACAATAGAAGGGGGAAAGTCAATTCTACTTTACATTCGTCTGAGTGACAGTTATATTGGATGAACCCGAGACGAAGAAAGGGACGTACTTCTAAAGTATTGACTCAGGTAAAAGTGGGCCTTTTCCTAACAATCGATAAAGTGGTATAGACTACGGGTTATTTTTAGTGTACTTGGGTTAGTCTTTGACATCATAGTACTCAATAACAAACTGCGAAAGAATATACAAACCTTTTAAAATAAATATTGTATATATATCTCAGAAACTTTGAAGTAAATAGTCGGGGTCATAAAATGTATCATTAGGCCTAAACAAATATTAAAAAAGATGTTGTATTGCTCTTTAGGTGCCAAAACATGGGTCAGTCAGTCGGAAATCGATTTTTTTTCTTTTTTCCCCTCTTTGAGCTGATATTTTAAAGTTTTGTATGCTTTAATACATATTGAATCATTGAACATTTTCTTTCTAAACAATGGTAAAAAAGTGTAATAAAAAGCCGACAGTAGATTTTAAGTTTTGGGTCGGTCACAAAGGGGAATATTCAACTTTGGTTAAGCCTTAGGGGGTCAAACATAGGGGTGTCGAAACTTAAGGGTGTTGCAACTTAGAGGTTTCGAAACTTTGGGGGGACGACACTTGGGGTGACGAAACTTAGGGGTGTCGAAACTGAGGGGTGTCGAAACTGAGGGGTGTCGAAACTTAAGGATGTCGAAACTTAGGGGTGACGAAACGGAAGGATGTCGAAACTTAAGGGTGTCGAAACTGAGGGGTGTCGAAATTTAAGGATGTTGAAACTTAAGGGTGTCGAAACTTAAGGGTGTCGAAACGTAGGGGTGTCGAAACTTAGGGGTGTCGAAACTTAGGGGTGTCGAAACTTAGGGGTGACGAACATAGTTATGTCGAAAAATTGGGATGTAAAAACATCATGAATGTGTTGACACATACAGGGTTTCAAAATATACAGGGGAATCGAATCATAATTGAGATCATTTCTGAACTAAAATTGGTAGTAACAAAGTGAAAAACCTGCCCGTGTTTGTAGAAATTTGCCTTAATTACAACGATAAATAAAAAGAAGAAAAAAAAAAACATTCTTAACAGCAATAATATACGATACATTAACAAACAAACAAAATAACAGTCGGTCTACTGTAAATTTATGAACAATATATAGATGAAATAATTATGTCCGCCAAATACACTTTAGCATATTTGGCGAAAATCGTTTCATTTGCCAATAGTGAAAGTTTATCTTAGCAACAGCTAATATGCAATCTGTAGTGTGACTATTAGAGTACCAAGTGACGCCTGCATTTGGGAATTTAGGTGACATCGGGGCCCCGTCTAATAAACAGTTGCGATTAATTGCAACTTATTGCCGATTGATATCATTTGCAACTATGTACATAAAAGAAAGGAGATTACAAACTTGCGATTGATTGGAGTGCTTGCGATTCGACTCGGATCAAACGCAACTCTTTATAAGCCGGGGCCCAGGTCCTCGGTAGAAGCACAAAACTGCTTTCATATTTCGACGTTGCGGTTGATCAGTAACCATGACGAACTTTACATTCAAGAAAATAGGAGGGCTATATAAATGTGGAAGAAAAAATAAATTTGATTGCATAAGAGCTCCAACATTCAAAAGAATTCAACCAAAACGTCCTTATGGGATTCTAATTGGTTGGTGATTTTTGTAAAAGAGACGAATCGAAGACGCTCTGCTTAATAGACAAAGGATGTCAAATGTACGCAACAGTGATGCTTTTTATATAGGTTAGATATAGCAACACCCGTTATTAATTGCCGGATTAAGTTGCAGCAGACAATAAATGTCACACGTCATTTGTTCCAACGATTCCTCCTTTCTTTCTTTCTTTCGTCGATTGATTCCTAAGTGGATGGTCTTTTTACCAGCAATTTTCCAATATAATGTCTTTGCTTCAACGGTTATTGGTCGTAGCGACGGTAAGCTGGTATCTATCAATTGATTTTAAACCCCAGTCACACCGACAAGACCGATAACAAACTGACAACAGACCGAACAAATAATTACGTTACTCCGAATAACGTCTTTTTTTGGAGTCATTTTAGGGAGTCAGTTGGCGGTATGATTGAGGTATTAGATGCTGTTATAAGATGATGAAGCGGATCCTAATTAAATGATTGGTTGAGAGCGCACACGTGACCAGGCATTTATTTGTTTTATTACACGACATTTTACTAATGACCGGTCATTAGCAAATACTAAGACCGGTCATTAGTTATATCATGTTATAAAACATCATTTTATGACACAAATAAAACATCAGTTTATGACACAAATAAAACATCATCTTATAAAACAAATAATACATTTAGTTTGGGCATTAGTAAAATTACCCACACCCGGTACCTTCGAAATAGCCCAAACATCCTCGGCTATTGCCTCGGGCGTGTTAGACCGTTCCAAAGCTACCTTGTGTGTGTCATTCTTACTGATGCCCTCACTGCTGTGTGTTATTTGTATAATATTATACCAAAATACCCAAGGGGCAAAACAGGTGTTTGAGACATGGAATGCTGTAAAATTTTGTTTGGTAAATCAACGTATTCAGTGGTCCTTTCCGCATATCTTCAAGGTGGAGATGGACTTTTTTGAAGATATGCTGTTTGAAAACATGGCGCCGTTTTAGTCAAAATGGCCGCCACGTATAACTAATATTGAACACTTTTTAATTTTTTCTTTTTTTAACAGAACCTCAATTTATCACGTGTGAGGTCTCATATGAAAGAAAAAATAATTTCCTACAAGATGGGACCATGGTTAATGAGGTTGGTCATGATTTGCATATAGCATTGAATTTACATCAAAATGCTCCCAATTTTGCAAAGCTTTAGTTATTTTTAATACAATGAAAATTGCATCGCTGATATTGACGCCTGGATGAAGTCAGATTCTCTGCTATTAAATCATAGTAAATGCGAATTCATTCTTTTCGGCTCAAAATCTCAATTGAATAAATTAAATATAGACTCAATTTCTATTTCCGGTAACACCATTCCCTTATCAAATTCATGTCGCGATCTTGGCGTCATTCTTGGTTCTCAAATGTCTATGTCTAAACAAATCACAAGCATTTCCAGATCAGTTCGCTATCAATTGCGCAATATTGGCTTCATACGGAAATATCTGACTCGTTCGGCAACAGAGAAGCTTGTTCACTCACTTATTTCTTCACGTTTGGATTTCGGCAACAGTTTACTCTATAATTTACCAAATTCACAAATTGCACGGTTACAAAAACTACAAAACGCAGCTGCACGCATCATTTCTCTGTCAAGCAAACATAGTCACATTACACCTATCTTACAAAATCTCCATTGGTTGCCTGTAAAAGAACGTATAATTTTCAAAATCCTTCTTTTAGTTCATCAAATCATGAACAGAACAGCTCCTGAATACAACCAGTCTTTAGTTCACCTCTACCAACTCACACGTACCCTCCGATCCTCCAACTCTGGTCTTCTACACATACCGCTTTCAAAGAAATCTTGGGGGGAACGAGCTTTTGCTCATGCCGGACCAGCCATGTGGAATTCACTTCCACAGGAGCTGAAGAACTCCAACTCTTCAACATCTTTTAAGAGCAACCTTAAATCCCATTTGTTTAATTTTGCGTTTTGAAGACAGACATTCATTCTTTCATTTTTGCATTTTCCTTCTTATGTAAATGTACACAATTCTTTGTCATGATGTAATGTGTTCCCTAGCATTTTGAAGCGCCTTGAGCATTTAATTAAAATGGATAATGGCGCTATATAAATCTCATGTATTATTATTATCATTATTAGTAGTAAAAAATAAATTTTAAAAGTTATTTAAAATCGAATACATAAAACACATCATTACAAATTTCAGCTTAAGGTATCATTGTTTTACATTTGTTATTGTAAGATTCATAATAAACCTATGGTACCCTTACATGCTATTTCTATCTGTGTCTACGATGACGATCGTTCGAAATAGCAAAAGTTTCCAAAATCAAGGTAAGAAGGATGTAGAAAGAAGAGAGGGGTGTAATCCTGACTTTTATCTTTTCAGTTATTTGAGAGAAAATTCATCGTCTTGACAGAGATGAGAAAGAAAACTCTTGTAAAATCATTTTTAAGAGAGAGAAATGTTAAGGTAACGGAATTGTTTGCAATGCAGAAGAAGAAAAAACATCCCCGGGGCGAAATTATAAACATTGTCTAGCTTGAATAGTAATTCTGTGCACGTTGGACAATATTAACACAAAAACATAACAATACAAAAAGATAATGAATAAACTGAAGCAAAGTTAAATAAATCCCACCAACCACACGGAGGGGATTATTTTGATATCCATTCTAAAATCACAATACTCTTGTAAATCCCAGTATTGACGAAAGCACAATATTAGTAGAATGAGTTCACCTTGGGAGGCAGCATAAATATTATTCAGGAACAATTCAAAGGACGTAACAATTGTATGAAGAAGAAAATGCTCAATAATGCATGTTAATTGTTGTAACCTTGCACACCTAGACGCTCGGGTTGCTTCTTTTTATCGATATTTTAATAAATAATTGGCAGCCTCTATCAGCAATTCAAAGAGACATTGCTATATATCTGGAGACGACATATATTCCTATGTTGTTTCCCTTCACAAGATCCATGGTTTCAGTTTAGTAAGAAGGATGTGTAATTATTGCCTCCATGGATTGATCTCGAAGACTCAATTTCAAGAATTTTTGGCGCTCATTGGAAAGTTGTTTTGCAGTTTGTCGCTACATTTTGGAAGAACCCACCTTTCCCAGATCCACTAGGAGTTCAAAACCACAGATTTTTGTTATCATTATTCTGCTGATATATATCATCAATATAAATCCAGCTAGTTTTTGATTTCATAGAGACATAATTTATACGGATAAGCTTGGAAATATGAATTCACCCAGTCCAAAAAGCAAAGAATAAAAGTGGAACAACGAGTCTGAATGCGGCTTAGACACCTGCATCAAACGCAATGCACACCAAGGTTTTCTTTTAGAGTAGAATGCACATTAAAAATGTTCAATGTTTTGTCAATAGACGACTGATATAATTATAACACTTTAATCTAGAAATCGATACCCATTAGGGCAGCCTTCGAGCGAATTAAACATCATTTTTCCCTTGAACGGATTACTAAGCAAAAAGAAAATTCAATTTGGCGCCTCTTTGATGAAACATGGACGATAATAAATGCACGCAACATATATGTATCCACGTATCGATGCATCGATACAGGGGAGGGATTAGTTTGGAGGTCTTGTTTGGGCGGCGCGTTAATTACAGATTAATTAGAATTTAACCCCTGGTTCCCTTTTCAAAGCAATAGTACTAGATGAATAAGTAAAAAAATTGATCTTATGTTTAATACAATACGTATTATGGATTCAGCGGGTAAGGTTGTTTCATGCATTTCTATCTAAGAACTGTATTAGCTAAATTGTATCAATTTCACATTTATACGCATGCAAAATGTATGTCTGAGAATACGCTGCAGAAAAAAAAAATCAAAATCAGCAATTTTGGTCCACGAAGATATTAATTGACCTAAACAGCTTTTGTTTGACATTAAATAATGTATATCCGCATAAAAAAATATTTAAACAACAAATTGATATTGAATTCAAACCAACATCCGTAAGCAAGTATATCTATAACACTCTTTAAACTGTTAGAATATATTTTGTGTGTGAAAATTAGATATTTAATCAGTCTAGATTTATCGAATTAAATTAAAATTTATTTGAGTTACAAATTTAATTTGCAAAATCAAGTCTGTTAAAAAAATTGCAAAGATTATCATGAATGTATATGCATGTTGGTTCTGGGGGATGTGCAGTTTTAGATTAGAGTTTATCTGATGATATAAAATACTCCTATTCACATACTAATCCACAGCTTTGTTTATAGAGCAAGGTAGTCAGTACAAAAGAATATACAGCATATCATAACAGATTGTATTTTCTCTTCCGCTTTTAGTTTATTTAATCGCAAATGTCTTTGTTGCATTACAATGAAAATTATATAATGTGAAATGCTGTCACGGTGAAGAAGGTTATTATGTTACAACGTGTATATAAATACTAATTTCAGAATGAACTTACCAACTATCTTTGGGCTTGATATGTTTAAATCCGGTATATTCCCGTTTGATAACAGACGTGTTTAAAGATTGTATCGGTGCAGAGCGCATGTAGTATTTCGTCCATACAAACGAGCAAAGGTCGTATGTCAAATATGAACGTTGAAGATATGAATCGTGCAAAAATATCAAACTGCAAAATTGATATTTAGTATAGTAAAAACACCTGAAAGCAATCTGCTTCCTCACGGCAACGGAACACAGTCGTAAATGGTGTAAAGTTACTCCACGTGGAAACGTCGTATTTCAAAGACGAAATTGCTTCTACTGAGGTCGGGATATTACTAATAAAGTCTTTAGTAACACTCAGTCATTATCAATTTGCTGTAATGGTTTCCAAAATCGAATTCACATACGTTAATCCATGAGTTAATCTTGTTTCATTGAAGCCGCTACGATCAAAACGAAATATTGACACCGATAAGTAATCCTGGAGATCAGAAATCATCTCCACCACTGCGCATTCGGATGTAGCGTCTATTAATGTGGTGCTTTAACCTTGGGCGTTGGAAGAGAGAGAGGGGGGAAAAGGGGGATGTTCCATCGACTGGCTTTCGATCGACTCAGACCCACTTAAGAGATCAGTGTTTACTTTATCTTAAAATGGACCTCACAATGGCCATGCTAAAGCCCCGGATAAAGCTCACCAACTCTCCCAACACTTTCAATACCGGTCCGATACGCTCCTCCTCATTGCATTGACATGAAAGAGGCGATCATCGATCGTGATGAATTGCGATGTTCTAACGTGGACGTCTGAACTAACATGACTTGTCATGACCACAATGGGTGAGAATGAATGTGTTAACAATTCTGCATCGCGTTCACTCTTCTCTTATAGTCTTCATTTTGAAGTAAAAGAAAAGTGGATTATTTTTAAGACTATACTCTAGACTTAAAGAAAGTGACGCCATTTCACCTATGTCTCTTTCATTGAATCACAATCTTGATTATCACAGAGAATGTACCCAGTCCGCCCGATCGATGAAGTGGTATTCAGACTAAAAACTCCCAGCGGGATACGTGGTTGACTAGACATTAATAGCATCATTAAATTGTGGATTAAAGATGACAAGCTATACACACAACATCGATTGATCTGTTTTTACCAGTTCATCATTTTGACCTTTTTTTTTTCTTGCCAGAGAATCAAGTGCTACGTTAGAAAAAAATGCCTAATTGAGGATATGGTTATTCAACCAACTTTGGGTAATTTACATCAAACCTGGTAATATTTTTGTCCAGTTATGGTAATTTTCATAAGAAAGCTCGACACATTTAAATGCCCATTTTCGATTTGCCCAGCAAAGAGGCACTTACAAGAACTGAAGTGTATGCAACTTTACCAAATATATATAGGCCTATATTTCCAAATACGGACAGTCCCAATAACGTGTCATGATACACTCCTTCAATAAATAATTTGAATCAACAAATTTTTGTCATCCATTTATTAGTTTTTTTCTGATAGTAATTCCAAAGACTGACTTTTGAATGGCTAGGAACAATACGAATCATTCTAAAACAGCGAAAATTAGTTAGATTTCATCAACCGAAACGATTAATGTAGGAGACGTGAAAAAAGTTTCAACACTCCGATTTGAGTAAAGTGCCAAAAATGTTTGAGTACTCGAGCCCCATAAACCGTACCTTCTCCAAGGTAAAATCAAAGATAGAAGGAAACGCAAAACACTTAATAACATTGTATTCATTAACTTACTGAAGATATGTTTTATTTTTATAATTTTGAATTCACTTGAACCCGACATTAAGTAGAATTTACTAAAAAGGTGAACTGTTTCTATACTATTAGAGCCTGGGCACAATTTCGCTATGCAGTTGACATTTCTGGCCCAACTTTTCCACTTTCTTAAATTTGACATTTTTAAACGTGCAAATGTATTTAGGTCATTAAAATATTTCTTTTAAACAGGGCCCCCTGGAGTACAGTGCATGTCGCCGATGGGGCTACCCTGTGTAAATAACACTTAATAATAATTGTAATAATAATCATAATAATATTTTAACAACGGATGCCCCACTTAATGTTAGTCATTTCAAAATACTGTCTCGTACGCCTTCACTTTCTTCAATATATTTGTTGTAAGTAACTTTCTATTTTATGATGTATTTTCTTTTTACTTATAGTATTATTTCCCCTTACCTTTTCACAATTTTGTTGCCATATCGAAAAACGACTGAACAAGATCAAGGATACTTTAGATCCAGTCATCCATCTTGCCCTCCATCTTGTGATTCACTCAACCGTCATACACGCACTTCTTCTAAACCATCATTACGGAGAACTGCATGTCGGAGGCGTTGCAGTGGAACTTAGAGGGCTTTAGAAAATTAATGGTGCCTTCATGGAACTCTTACAAAAAAAGGGCTTTGAACTTATACTAACGACTCGATTGTTCACGTAATTAGATTGAGACTGAAGGGGGATATGTCATTGTTATATACTCACGTCGTTTTTCCGAAGGTTTGTCGCTCTGAAGTTTGCCAAGAAGAAAAACCCTGTAATGTTTTTACGATCCAGTGTTCTTATTCATTTTTGCAATTATAGAATATTTTACTTTTTTCGGAATAACGATCCCTATTGATTTTCGGAATTATAAATCTTATTTCATTTTACAAATTAATTACCTGTTTTAATTTTGGAAATAATTATGCACCTTGTTTTATTTTTGTAATTATGAACACTATTTCATTTCTGGAATTACGACCTCCTTGTGTTGTGAAATTGCTAATCGTTTTTTCTCTGTTTTTGCTTTGTTCTATTTATTTTATGTTTTGTTCTGTTAATTTGTAATGTTTTGTTTGGGGTCACGATATGCCATTTGATGCAATAAATTCTCATTCGTTACAGTGCCACATGTTCATCTCCCGTAACCTCCGCCCAGTCACTGTACAAAAAGAAACAAAGGGTTACTGGTCAGCAAGATCAGTTTAGCGTGGTCAATAGCGAGCCAGGACCATACCACAAAGGGCCGTGTCCCATTCATGTAGAATGCATCTTAATCCATCTTGATTTTTCCAACTGCATGTGTATTTTTAGGTCATAATTACGTGAAAATATAAAGGGCATTGTTAAGAAGCTATGGCGCTTCCAATTACCCCTATATTGTTATTGGGTACAGTTTTCCCTTTCCGAGTATAATTTACTTGTTTTGAACTAAATGGGTCGATACATTTGTTTATGGAAAGGCTTAGTTTGTTACGATAATTATACTTACACAATGACTAGGGGAAAATGCAGCAGATAAATGCTAGATCACTGATGGAACCAATGGGTAAGGGGATATTAAGTGCCCTATACTTCTGCGATGAAGAGGAGCCCCTCACGTGAGAAAATCGAATGCTCCATTAGAGGTGAAAAATCGCCCGTTTTTGGCATTTCACTTGGTGTACTTTGAGAGAAACTCTTCATTATCGGCCTTCATTGGTATCTAAAAATGTATTCAACATGTCTGATGAGAAGTAAGAATAGAATAGGGAAGAATTATAAAAGTATTATTCTTTCTTTTATATCAGTAGACAATGAAATTTACCCATGCAAGTCCGCCAAAGTTAGAACAGAGCGCGAGAATACCCATAGGCCCGTCAAACCCACTCAATTACGATTATTTGTCAAACTTGAATTCAATGATTTTTACAGTGAAAAATTGGGGCACAATTACATTAACTACAATTATAAATAAACCCATGCAAATGAGCAATGCAACGGGTTGCTATATGAATGTATATAAATATATAAATTTATACATTAAAGCCGAAAAAAGAAATTACATTTTCAAAAACCTTTTCATTGGGGGCGCCTGATTTAGCAAACATTTCAGATGTGCAGGAGCAAATCGATCAATTTTTTAAAATATCGTATAAATTCTGTTTATTTTGCCCAATGTCTTTAAAGGTACTATGTCCCATTTGCAAGTCAAAAATATGAAAAGGTTAAATTCCAGCGGCATTTGAAAGATATACTAATTTAGAACTTCCTTAAAAGAAAAAAAAAAGGGGGGGGGGCTCGAAAATGTCTTTAAGTGGGAAAATAACGACTATTAGTTGTCAAATCGACTTAAGAGCTATAAAGCCAGTAAGTATAGTCTGATTTTCAGACCATCGCACTGAATGGTCGTACGTTTTATGCTGCGCAAAGATTCAATCAGTTTAATATTGGCCATTTTAAGAAGTGGGTTATTAATGTAGACAAATGCTCATGTACCCTTTATAGCTCATCTTATGTATGTTATTACCAAAGAAGAAAAAGCCAGTCACTCACTCAATAGTGTCTGACAGTGAAGTCTAGCAAGTAAACGGGTTTCTTTGCATAGTTTGAATATTAGGACACTGCTAACGTTTACATTTCACAGACAGGACATACATGACATTTTCATAATTCCTGTAAATTTCTACAGAATTTGATGTTGGCTGCGAAAGGGACATAGTATCTTTATGTGAAGGTCTAACATTACAGAACATCCAGAAGTAAATTTGCGGATTTTATTTATCTCCTTTAAATACCATCTAGGGTACGTGGGAAATGTCCCCTAACCCCTTTTTAGATAGTCACATAGTAAAAGGCAAAGGCGAGAAAGAGAGAGAGAGATAAAGAGAGAGAGAGAGTGGGAAACACGCCGATAAAATACAGGTGTGGGTTTTAACATAATAATGCCATTATAATAATTATTTTTTCTATTGGTGGACAAGAATAAACTGCCGCTCCTCGCCATGATGTTCCATTGTTTATATAAACAAATCTGCTGGGTTTTTCTACTTCCATACTCGTCGTCTGATCATCGAAGTAGGCGCGTTGGGCGGCTAGATGAAAGGAAACATTACAATCGTTAGCTTTAAGGAAGAAGTTAATGACACATTCATTATCCCCTCATTATCAAACAGTCATTCAGAAATCTCATCTGGGGGCAAATCAATGTTTAATGAGATGGAAACAAAAAGCACGCGTATTCCTTCTCTCATCTTCCCCTGTCTCCATCCCCTCTCTTTCTCTCCCTCTCTCTCTCTCTCTCTCTTGCCCTCTCTCTCTCTCTCTCTCTTGCCCTCTCTCTCACTCTCTCTCTCTCTCTCTCTCTCTCTCCCCCCTCCCTCCCTCTTTGTCTCTTTCCAGTTATTTCATCTATATCTATTTCTGTCTTTCTTTCTCCCTCTCTCTTAATCTAAATTTCACCTGGTTTCCTTTCTGTACTCTATCTATTCCTCCCAATACGTATCTTCCTTATCTACCCTTTTCCCTTCTTCCCCGGCTTCTTCCTCTCTTGCTACCCATTCCCTCTCTCCCTTTTTATACTAGTCCCTCATCTTTCCATTTTCCATTTTCTCCTTCTCTCTTTCACTTTTTTTTTCTTCATCTCCCTCTTTTTTTAAACCCTTTTTCTCTCTGGATATCATTCCATTTCTGCCTTTTCCTATTTCCTTCTCTCTCTCATCCACTCCCTGTCTGTCCCGCTTTCCAGTTTTCTTTGTATCCCCATCACAGACTGTCTACCCCTTCTTTGTCTTTTTGAATTATTGTAATGTCTACCGATCGAAGCCGTGACATTCTCTACATGAATAGCTCCTGCAAACAGAGAGGGACTTCTTTTATTCGGCATTTCTCTCTTTCTCTTTATTGAGTCGAGCATTATAATGTTATCAAGTCGAGACGCCTTAGAATCAGACCCTACGTGCATTTAACCCATCGACAATCAATACTATGCCCAATGGTGTAGGGCCTCTCTATCCCTTTTGTTATTTCTTCACGAAATGAAATTAAGAAAGAGAACTGCCTTACTACTTACCTCAGAATGTAGTTTGGTTCAATTTCCTCCTAAAGTGTCACAGTTAAGTGAAATGATGTTGGAAATAGAAGAAAAATGTATAAGAATATAACGATAAAGAAAAAAACTGAAGTAAATTTCATAGCCATTAAAAAATATACCATTTACCGACAGTACACACCTTGTCCATTTTATTATCTGTCAAAACTGGAGCAAGCTTCATCATCGTCATTTCATTCCAGCTCTTCGTAAATCAGTCATCATTTCTTAAAATCCTGGTTTTTGTCATCTTTTCTTCATTAGTTTTTAATCCAGATGAAAGCCTCAAAAAGCAAAACTCATAAAACGGTGACATGGTATGCGACTAAAAACATACAGTATTAGAATAAATTCAGGAAACAAAGAAATACATATTAATTAAAATTGAATAGAACTTTTCTTGAAATTTTATTCGTGAAAGTATGCACAAACAATTGTATATCTATTTAAAAAAACACGATATGTTCAACTAGATTGATTACGTGGTCTTGTGTTTTACGTAGATTAACAGGAGTTTCAAATTAAATTATAAACCTTAATTTTAGAAGTCGCATTATTTTTATTAGAAATAATGCACTATACATGTTTTGCATGATTTTTCTAAGTAGTAAAGCAGTAGAATAAATAAAAACCTCCTACTTTGAAACAATTCACATTGATGTCTTTAAAAAGAAAAGTTTAATCATTATCACTAACAAATGCGAATATATTAATACTACTTATTATTTCAAAAGAGTAAACGAAGAGACAGCTCATTCGTTGATACATGCAACATAAACATGAAAATAGAGAAATACGCCAGGAATTTACATTACGAAAACACCCCTGACGAAAAGGAGAAAAAAATAGAAAATACTTTCCAACAGTCTGTCCTGATCTGAATCGATAGTCATGAGGGTGGGTTATTTTACACAAAGATGAAAGTTTCTGTCTCCCTTGGGAATACTATTGACCACTGGCCTTGTTTCATAATTGATTAGTTATTCAAGAAGTTAGCAAGGAACAATAGAAGGGATTATGTCGTCCTCTTTCTTTTATTTCAGCAGACGATAAAATTAATCAAGGACGCTTAAGGGTAACAGTAATTGGAACAATAATCAGCGAACATTCATTATCTTAGATAAAATCATAATCAAGCAATTTGTCAAACTTAAATGTGATTTTTTTTTTAAGAGATAGGATGAAAATATTGTAGATTGAGTATTTTGATTTTATCACCATGAATTTAATTATGTCTTTGCATTTATTTAAAGCAACTAATTGTTTTGACCGGGATTCACCTGTCACTATACTTAATCAATAATTAAATGGTTATTCAACTCATTCTTTTTTAAGAGCTCAGAAAGAATAAGAGGGATTATGTTGTCTCCTTTCTTTTATTTCAGCAAGCAATGAAATTAGACCAAGGCCTTTATTGATAATTGTTAATTAGAGCAAGAGGATACTCATTATCTAAAGCTGCCAAAGCAATCAATATCGTTGATATGTCAAACATTCCAGATAGTAATTTGATTGCGATTAGTAAGTCAAGGAAGAAAAACCAAATCGAGAACGGTTTTTGTTTTAGTGTTCCCTTTTCAAACATTCTAGATGAAGAACCTTGATTGTGACATGAATGAATTAGTAATTCAAGCAAGAGGAACCAAAAACGGTTTTGGTCTAGCGTTCCACTTTCTAGAGAGGCGAATTAATGAATAATTATAAATAGTGTTCTTTTTTATATAAATTTAAGCGCTGACGATAGTTTCTTTCAAATCACACCCCTCGTGTGGATATTTAGTGTCAATCAAAGTATGACAAGTCAAACTCTGAACGTTATAAGCTATTCTTTCAAGAAATCATATATATATTGGCTACCAATGCGGGGGCTAGGGGTGTGAAATTCACTTTCAATTAGTGCCAGGAGGGTCAAATCTGACTGACATGAGCGCTATACAAGAACCCACTATTATTATTATTATTACAGTATTTTATAATCAAAAAGAGAATTCATCTGGTGTGTATTTTTGTGCCGATAAGTTTGGACATGCAGGGATGGAATTTTTTGTTTTCCCGGGCGACATTTTTTCTGGATACGCAATTTACGTAATCATTAATATTCTTGGGCATGAGATATTTTGTGGAACCTTGATGGATCGGGAGTACTGCCCCCTGCACTGGTTGGCCGCCCCCTCGGGCATTAAATTCCCTTTGACAAGCTGTCAAGCCTATGTTTACCGAATCTTATGGATCAATCGGCGTGCACATTAATGTTCAAAGAGAGAGACACACACACGGGTAAAACGTTTCTATTGTGCTTCAAACAAAAGCGAGCGATTATCGCCGGAAACCGATCGCTCTCACTTATGCGAGAGAATAATGATCTTCATGAATATATTATAAAGGACTGTTTTGCAAAACGATGAGTGTTTTATGTAACTTGCAACGAGCAGTCAAAAGAGCAGTTTAGCATACATTCTCTGATCGATAATATCATGCTTTCGTCTTCACTTAGGTACTCACACACCTTGTTATTTTTACCTCCCTCACGACTTTATTTCTTTATATTTTGACAGGTATAATTGTCCGGAACATGGCTAAGAAATAACACGACGTCTGCCAATTACGTGAGATCGAGATTGATTGTGATTATGACCACAATGGGATGCAAAATGTGTAATAAAGTTTAGTTGATCCTAGCAAATATTTAGCAATTAGACCTCCCTCCCTCCTTTCCTACCACCCCCTCTCTCTCTAAAAAAAAATATATGAATTGTTTACACATTATATATAGCTCTATTTATTTTTCTTTTAGTGTGATCACGTGATATACTGCTAATGCCTCTCCGTATTTTTCATAATTTTAATTCTCCCTCTCTCTTTCCATCAGAAGAGAATAGGGACTCTTTCTTTTTGTTAGCTCTTCCACTCTCTCTCCCTTTTTTCTCCAACAGACGGGTTTTTTCTTCTCCGTAGTTTCCTCCTTATTCTCTGTCTCTTCTATCTACTATGCCCTATCATTTTAATTTTTTTATTGTATCTCTTACTTGTTTATATTTCATCTTTTATTACTTTCTCGTATTCGGCTTAGGCCTGAAAATACTTGCGATTTTCATGAAATGTCATGCATTTTCGGCATACCTTCAATTTTTAATTAACAATAAGGACTGACTTTTGACGTAACCATAATTAAGGGATAGACACTATTGATATGACGGACAATGAAAGCGGACAAAATATACAGTTCCTCAGGTTGACAAAGGAACATCCCTTCACTGCTATTATGTAAAAATGTGAAGAACAGGTGTCACATGCATATTATTATTATTATTATTATTATTTTTATTATTATTATTATTATTATTATTATTATTATTATTGTTATTATATAACATAACACTATATGTACATAATTATTTTAGAATAGAAAATATGATAGTAACGTTCAATATAAACAAAAACAGGCGAATACAATCAAAGTCGTAATAAACGTACAATCTAATGATTTTCGTTTTATTTTTCTCTCAAACAAATGTATTTTTTATTCACACAGTGTTTCTTTATATATATACAAAAGTTTCTTTTGTACATTATGCAAAGCCATATACAGATATATTTGCTATATACAGGATTATGAGAACAGGAAGAAAAGGAAACGATTGTATCTAAGAAAATTGAAATGGTTGAACACGGAATGGAGTAAACAAATACAGTATTTCGCTGCCTGAATGGAAGAAGAAACATGAAACTTGAATAAAGAGGTAACGGTTAGAGAAGAAAAATATATGTTTTCTATCTATCATATATTATATTCTTTATTGACATCACTACTATAATCATGTCACAGAAAAATAATCAGGCGCAATGTATGTAGATTCTTAGTATTTGACTCTGTGGGAATATCCAGTAGATAGCCTCTAATATTATTGTATAGAAACTATTTAAATCTTAATGTTGATTTCCTTCGACAAATCAAAAATTCGAAATTTCTCAAACAAAGGGTTGCTCTTGACGATGTTTTAGTTTGCCCTATTCTATACTAACAACAACAACAACTTATAGGCCAACATGTACCCCATTTACATAAATGCTACAATGCACAATATGCGAACAGTTTGTTACTAGTGGTTCTTGGAAGAACCATGAATTTCGAAATTTTAAATGTAAAGTTTAACTAGTCTATCCATTATCGATGGTCTAATTAATATCATAATAAATTCAGTAATAATATTGTAAAAAACAATATTATCATAAGTAAAGTAAAACATCATGATGTGAGATCTCTAATGGAAACAAAGTAGTATTGGATCACAATAACACCGACATATTGATAATTAAGATGGGCCTATACCATTTAAAAGACAGTTGAGATAAGAGCAATATCATAAAAAGATTTTTCCGATGGATTTATTGTTTCTACAAATTCAAAAATCTTTATGAGTCACAGCTACCCGTCGAGCAAGAATTTGGGATTTCGCACTACACTTCGATTATTTTGTAATATGTCAAGAATTGATTCAGCCTATAATATATAAGATATCCTAACACTTGCTTTCTTTTACAAATGAGATGTTAGATGCCCCTAAAATATATGTCATTCACGGGAACAAATGAAATACAATCAAAAGTGTGCCACATTAAACATAAACAGAGAGGGAGTGAGAAGTGAGTGGGAGAGATAGAGAGAGAGAGAGAAAGAGAGAGAAAGAGAGAGAGGGAGAGATAGTGGGAGGGTTAATATATGATTTTAGAGGCATTACATGGGCATCACAGGTGAAAACTGTGACGGGAAAATGTGGACAGCAGATGGCGCTCACCAAATTAGAGACCATCAGATAACATCGATGTTGAATAGGCGACAAATATCTCCTTTCATGAAATGATTAAAAAAGATATACAACCTGTTTAACCGCATGTACTGTGCTATTTTATTTTATTTTTCTAACTCCTAGAGTTTTTTCTCCGTTGAAGATACTTTACTCGAGACTGAATTAGTAAAAGTAAATTTTAAAAAAAGAGGACTTTTTTAAATGGTGAAATTGTAAGTAGCTCATTAATGAATACGGATAAAAAGGAAAAACTTTGCTCTTACATGGTTAATGGAATGTTGTCTTTTATTGCCTTAGAGCCATAGGACAATCTAATTCTAAAGCAAATTTCAATGTGTTATTTAAAAAAAGATAACACATAAACATAACCTATAGAATGTATTAAATTAGTTTCAAATTAGTTTACATGACTAGGAACCTTGTGTTTACTTATAAAGCACAACTTTATCATCAAACTATACAGTTTAAGCGTCAAAACAAGAACAAACAATATAATTTAATCAAACGTATATATATGAAACTAAAGTACTGCATACACCAAATTTCTAATAATCATTCTCTTTATATCTTTACATGACAACGAATCATTGGAGACCAGTTGAAAGGCCATTCCACTTCCCTTCTATGGGCCTAAACAAATTTAATCGACACAAATAAATCAAGTTTTCCTTTAAACAAGCTTCCTTCCATTATCTTTAACCAACGATATCCTTCACAGCGTTGTGATATCGATAAACCGTATTGTATTGATGTCGTTTGAAGATAAAGTAAATGAAAAACTGGAGCGATCATTCTTTAACATAACAGCCCAATTACAGGAATATGAATTGTATTTTTTTTTTAAAGAGAAACATGCGGTATGACCGAATTCGACGAAACACTGTATATTATATTAAATGCTTTAAACCTGCATTGAAAAAACCGGCAAGAGCTTTAATTTTAATCAACTTATTTAAATCTCTCATAAGCAAGTTCTTATTCTCTTAGGCTACTTAGGCTTGCAAAACGTAAAGCTTTAAACGCTCACAATAATATAAACCCTAAATCAGTAGCACGTGAAGCCGAACGCTCACAGGCATCAGTAAATGTTTCTTGACAAAAACATTTCTCAGAAATATTCCATAGGTTCTTGAAATCACGATAATCATTACTTTAAAATCTTCCAGAGTTATAGAAATTCATGCATATGATACTTTAATTCAATCAATTACAAATTAACTTGACATGTAAGTATAACACCTGTGTTTAGAAACACCGCTATACAAATAGATTTCATGAAGTACATGTATTAACATTTGTCCACGGTTTTCAACAAATAAATATGTTTTCATGTTGGAAATTGATCAAAGATCTTTTACATAATTTTTCTGCATTATTATAGGAAAAGCAACCTTTATCAATGCCAGAGGTATTATTGCAAAAATGTACTACAGACAAACAAAATACCCGTCAAAATATCGATCATTATAAAATTGTGTCATTATCTCCCAAGGGCAATCAATTTCTTTCGATTCGAAGACAAAAAATGTTGTAAACCTTTGTGTTGAAAATCGTAAACAAGCAAGGGCGTAAGGTCGCCGCATTTGTTTAATTCATGTTTGTAATTATTGACTTCTTTGACATCTATGTTCGTGTATCGATACAAATATTGCGCGGGAACCCTGCTTTTTTTGCAAAACGAAATTTCGAACAATTTAAGCGAGCCCTGATTAATAACGGCTGCGGCACACAGTTTATTTTCTGTTTGCCTAGTAACAACTGATTCAATGGTGCCAAGTGAAACACAGTGATAATTTTCTTATTACTTTGTTTGGTGGATATAGCGCATGTTGTATTTTTATAGTGGGGCTTTTGATTTGATTTGGTCTAGCTTTTTTAAAATTGATTTATACTTGGGCCATAAACTACCAGTTCCCTCATTTCAGTCTGATCTCATTTCAAAATACAAGACACAAAACAAGCTAAATGCAATCCATAACAAATAAACAAACAAACAAACAAGAACCCGGTTATGTGCTAACCTGTCTAGGTTTCTTCAATGGGAAGTATGTTACAGTTCTTACAACCTCCTGTCTTTCAGAGACTCATGAAACGCTTGGATTATCACTTAAAGTCCATCAATAAACTAAGCAGAGCCCGTCTCATTCTCAATGATATAAAAATCAATTATACATTGATGGAATTCGGCATAAATCAAACGCATTTTGAAGATTAATTCATCTCAACTTTGTTTGCATTCATATTAACATATTAATACATCACAAAAGAATAGGCCTATCAACTTAAGCAAATTAAATAAGTTTCGAAGGCCAATAATCTTCAAAACACGAATTGCAAGTACTTTCTCGAACAAATACCTTTTGAAATATCTTTTAAAATAATAGGTTAAAAAAGTTAACTGAATGTTACATTGATGATTGTATATTCAAATTGCCAATTTCAAGATGACCATGTGATACTTGCGCTCCTCATGTTAAAATACAATTCATCATAATTCAAATGTATAAATTATATTCACTGTTGTAGGTTGATATAGAAATAGATGATGTTATCAAAGGTTGTCTGTGGATTAAAATAAATAAATAATGGCACTAACAGCCAACACTTCTGACTTTAATGTGAGCTCATAGCATTGGCTTAGTTGATAACCATTGCCACGTGTCAAATAAGTGCACGATTTATTCTCATGAATGATTGTGTTGTTGGCTATACATTTCAAAGACAGGTCTTATAAAGTTATGGTTCATGGTTGTTCAATATACGAAGAATGTATAAAGTTTCTCCTTTCATGTGCTTGCAATGGCGGTGTGGAATACTCCGTTCTCATGATTTTCGCTGGTCCAGTACTCCAGTAGATGTAATCATCATTGAAATAGTCCACACATATATAATGACGTCGGTAAGGTGTGTCAGTCATGCGGGTCGGAATTTCCTTCATTTGTCTCTGATTTGTATAAAATGATACCCTCATCATCAGCACACACTATCTTGAGCAGATCATGATGGATTGTACCTTTTAAAAAAGATTCTACTCTTTGAGTAGCCAGTTTATGAGTGTTCTCATTTCTCATAACGAATATCCCATCCGCGAGCAGCAATACATCACATAATCACGTTGTCTTGTCACATGATTCCTCTTTATATCATGTGACCAAAATATGAAACCTCTTGTATCAAAAGGAAAATGTCGGTTATATACATTAACGCACACATTCTTTCGTGCTACGTCCCTTTCATCCCTGTGATCACGTGATCTAAGACGAATTTGGTGAATGTGATGTAGATCGCCTCGATCTTTTCGTTGTACCGATCTTCTAGCGTCTCCTTCACCGTCTCCAAGAAGGGCTTCTCGAATTTCTGTTGAAAAGAAATCAGAAACAGGAAAGGAAATCACGATAAAAGGTATTGAGCACAAGATATATTGGGTTACCGGTAATATTGGCAGGTGTTTAGGCCCCCGCTATATGGGCTTGTTCAGATTATATAGTTAATAATTCACGAATCTATTGAGAAACACGTTGCATTTTTTTTGCATTGGAATACATATGATAATTATGATGCACGGAGTAAGAAACAAGAGCTTTCCGAGAAAAGAGGGACGGATACTAAAATCAAATACTTGTCCAAATTGCGATGTTTAGACTATATCAATTACTTACGCCATAACAAAAACATACCTTAGGCTTATTTTCTGAGAAAACTTTATCTTCAAGTTTGATTTTGAGATACGAGTTCTAATTCACGTCTTGTTCCTCAGCAAACAAATAACCCGACAAACAAAGCATAAACTTTAGCTATGAAATATGGTTTATGTTATATAATATCCAGATGGTATTAAATCGTACAGGGATGTTTTGGAAAACAACTGTGTACAGATGGAAACTTTATACTGCAATTGGAAGTATAAGCTCCCCTCCCATCAATTTGATATACCCTTTATAAGTATGGACAATGATTCCAGTCAGCAAAAAATCATTTATCGTCGCTTGTTTCAAATGATGTCAATACAATGTCCAATACTTCAGCATAACTTGTCTTGAAGTTTCCTTACAAAAAAAAACGCTTATTAAAGTCTGTTACCTCAAAAGTTTGCTCACCCCAATTTAAATGAATTCAAGAAAGAAAATATAGTATATTTGATGGCATAAATAATACCCGCGCCTATCTCATCCCCGCCGTGACTGTTCTGTCATCGCACGTATACGCGACGGCAGTCCTAAAAAAGAAGATATCTTCTATATGGTACTATACTTATGATACGAAAGATGATAACAGCATGATTAATGCAAATCTAATAACGTAAAGACATTAATAATGCAAATGTAATAACATAATATAAGTGGCTTGTGAGACAGAGCATCATTTAGATGATGGCTGTTGCCATGGTAATGCCACATGTTATACGTGATCATACATAGTCCAGCCTCTGTACCGTTTTCGTTTAGCGCACCCAATCAGCTGATCAAAGAGATTCGATCATACACGTATGTCCTCCGTGATAAAATAACACACCCTCAACGTTGAAAGTAGACCTAGCCATTCCTCTAAACCTCGAATTCTCGCTACCCTAAATAGGTACGAAAATCTCGAAATTCGCGAGACGAGGTAATTTTCACTCTCTCGGGTCGTCACTACAACTTCCGGTATAGAGTCCCATCCCAAGTCACGGCCTTCATCCACCCCCATTTTTCAGGGTTCTTACGCTTGGAATCATGAGCCCAGCACTGTGCAGCCTCACAAAAGAAAACCATCGTCACTGATGTCAAAAGACGCAAAAAACAACGAATGAAATGTTCAAATAAACGTTGAAATATTTGCGAAAAAAAAACAAGACCGAGCAGACGACATATTCGGTGCATACACGTTGTGTGGCGACGGCGTTTTACGTTTGCGCTATCGCGCCGCCTGCACAGGAAGATTTAATGTCGAAAAGCTATCCCATAATGCAATGCGCGTTTTCAGGATTTTCCCCGGATCTCGGCAGAATCGCTATTTGGGGTAGCGAGAATTGTGGACGGAAATTTGGGGATTGCGCGATCAGTGGATAGACCGCGCTGTGTGTGTGGGGGATAAAAAGAACGAACGGATTGAATCTGGACCAGGCTTGTAAGCGGTAAAAGCACGGATGTTATTGTCAACATGGCAGGATATATAAAGCTTAGTTATAATAATTTTAATAATTAGTGCAATGGGTTGAAGGTCTTTTGTTATGTTGAATAAATCGTTTTTTGTTTTTTGTTCATCGATTTCAATTTTATTTCATGTTTTACTCATAAAAATGATCCATACAATACTGTATACCATGAACGATCACATAGAAGGTAAACAAAAAATACATTGCCTTGAGCATTTGACTGTCAGGTGGATTTGGCGCCTCATAAATCTTATGTATTATTATTATTATTATTAAAGGTCACATTCAGGGAACCATCATCAACTCTCATAGTCGGGAAACAAGGTGATCTCTTTTTGTTTTAGTAGAAACTGTACAATTTAAATTATGGCAAGAGACAACACCCCCCCCCCGGGAAAAAAATGTGTACGTAAGAGCATAAGCCCTAGAACACTATCGCCATGCTCGGTCGTATGGCAAGCCGTTTTATCATTTAAACATGTTTCTTGATATCAAGAAATCAATTCTTGATATCACGAAATCGAATTCTATTCTTGATATCACGAATTCATTTTTTGATATCAAGAATAGAATTCTTGATATCAAGAAACATGAATAAATGTTAAAACGGCTTGCCATACGGTCGCTACCCTTTCTCGTACGCTGATGTATACTCACGATATTTAAAGAGGCTAAGACTGATATGTACAAGGAATGAATAAAGATCATGTCTTCTGTAATAGCCTCGATCAGCAATAAGGTGTGTAATATACTGTACTCAATGGACCCGGAGAAAGAAAACCAGTTAACTTTACTAATTGACCCTCTTTTGAAACATTGCCCTCGAAATTCGAATTCTGTAGATCATTAAAGTCGTCGATAATGCTTAATTTGCAGCTCAAAATACGAGGATAGAGTATTACAACTAATTTCAAAACTGTAAACATTTACTCCCCCCCCCCCCTACTTAATGGGGTTGAAAATCAAACGATCTATCGACGGGAACTAGGGCGGGACCGAGAATAAAGAATGGTTATTACAATGTTTAAATCATTCTATTTCACCTAATTAGATGTTCTCTGCACAAGGGATATATAACAATGTTACATTACATGTTTTAATGAGAGTGAGAAGAGTGACGGACCTACATATTGACCGCGCTAGATTTTGGTAGAAGAAGAAACTTTATATGTATACGTGACGAGTCATTTTATCGAATTTATGATTATGGGTTCAACACATTTTTTTAAAAAGCACTTTACCCAAGGGATGAGAGATAGAGAAATAGAGAGGGGGAGAGAGAGAAAGATAAAGAGAGAGAGAGAGAGAGAGAGAGAGAGAGAGAGAGAGAGAGAGAGAGAGAGAGAGGGGGGGGGGGCGACAAAAGTTATGAAGGGGCAGAAGAGGAGAAAGAAATGCAGAGGGAGACATTTTAAAATAGGAACGATGGATAGATTAAACAATTTATTTGTTGCAAAATAATGATAAACGAAAATCAATTGTTAACATTTCTAAATCACATCAATGGGATCGATTTAGCCTCATTGCGATGATGTGAAAAGATTTAAGATATTCTTCAAGGTAAATGATGACATCTTGATTAAAATTTTGGAAACAAACTACTTTCAGGATACTTTTTCATTTTGTTGAGATTGCTGAGATTGCTGAGATTAATGACTTCCAAATTAGTGAACAGGCGTGCAGACCATTACAAGGCAACGTGTTTAATATTCTTTATCATTAGTCAACACTATCTTTACAATATCTTCATAATACCATGGAGATCTATCTTATATCTCCATGGTAATACAGTGGACTGGCTGTAGACACGTCCCACATCTCTCATATTTTGCAGACAAAAGTCATGTTTTCGAATCCTCCTTGTCGTGTTTGTGTTCAAGTGGCTATTCTCGATGTTCGTTTGTTTTTCATTTTGTTTAGTTTAATTTCATTTTCTTTGTTTTATTGTTGTTGCATTTTCTTTCGCTTTTCTGTGTGGCTGGTTGGAGATTAATATTAGGAACTTACCATGGTAATTTCAAATGTGAGGCTTGACTGTAAAGAGATTTTTTATTTGCTCGCGGAAAAATTCCAGGATAAGCGTTGTCATGAGATTTGGTCCATTCAATATTTATAGTCTTGCGACGCCCCTGGTCGTAATGTTTTTTCGAATGCAAAGAGACATACAATGAATATTGTATCCCCGACGGTGCCGTGTAGGGGAAAAACCCAGTCACGCTTATCGCTGTATCAATAAAATTCTAATACATAAACTCTTTCACGAATAATAAAATTGTTCAATACCATGTCGGGGTATCGAATTTATTAGCTAAATGGTGAAAGGAAAAGAACGCTGTTAACGAAAAGGACTAACACACATCTTGTGGTGTATTTTTATTGCAAAATCGATGGGGAAAATGGTTGGATGTTACCAACTTAATCAATGAAATAATTCAGTTACGAATACAATGCAGAGGGAGGGGGTCATAAAATAATTTGAATGTTGACGCGTTCTAGACGCGTTTCTTTTCTTATTCTTCACTTTCACCAATCAATGGATTTCTATTATTTTCCATTTTAGTGTCATTGGATGATTGGATCGTCATTATTTTTTGTCCAGAAGTCATTCATCTATTCATCTCACTGTCTCCTTCCCGCCCCTTTGTGGATTATGTCTTTACCTTTTATAACTGTCTTTAGACTATGTTTAGTGTATTTTGATGTTTATTGTATTTACTTATTGTGTGGGGTATAATTGTGCATGTACAAGATCATAAAATCAATAGCTGGTCAAAAATTTAACAGTATCGAATATAATGCAAGACGCGGAAGCAACATGTACTTTTTGTTCTTTTACAACTTGGTAAAGCAACGAACACATTTCAATAAGATCACGATTTTGTTCTCCATTTTTATTAGTCATAATTCTATCTACCCTTCTACATGGAATCCTTGTCGGTTGGGAGAGTTTTATCGTTGTATTATTACAGTTTACAACTCTTTAGGTTTTTCTGCTTTAATAATTTGAATCTGTGGCTCCAACTCGAATAGAAACTTACTGGCATCCAAATCCAACTGAGAGTTTGGCTAATTAAATCTTATGATGGACATTTTGATGCAAGGCTCACAGTATTTTGTTGTCTGAACGCCAAATAAAGCAACATGCATCTTATTAGGTTGCTCCATTGATAACATTCCTGTCCAATACGGTGACCCAAAGTGCGCCCGCATGTGTTTAATTTAG